GGGTTTAGGGTTTGGTTTGGGGGTTTAGGGGTTTGGGTTTGGGGTTTAGGATTTATAGGCGCTTCTTTGGGCCAGGGCTTTCGGACGCGCTGTTTTCACGGGTGGAGGATGAGGCTTAGATCCGGGTACCCCGTTTGCACGTCCAGCCGACGTTTGGACAGTTGCTGCTGGATTTACCTTTGCTGCTGGTCACTTAGTTGCCTATCGAAGGTTGAATATGTTTATATCGAAACCCGAAACTGAACCCCAAACCCGTCTAAGCCCGAATCCATATGTATGAAAAAAAAATATATATATATATATACATATATATGTATATAGTTATATCCTTTCACGACCCAAATGAATTTCTCATCAATTGACTTTATTTTTGGCCTTCGTGTCTGTCACAGGGCTGCGGGGAATCGAGCCGGTCACTGCTTTCGGTACGCGAAGCGCAGTGCGAGAAGGTATCCCCCATGACATACCTGGACCCCAAAGAACCTACATTTTTAGGGTTCCTTATTATGATTTCTTTATACAAGTCCTTAAAAAGGTAGGTTACTTGGGGTTAAGGTAGAACCCACAAGCGATGTAGACACACCCCCGAGTATCCATAGCCACGTCTTGTACAGAGATGTTTGACGATGACTCTCCTCCTGCCTACCTGGACCCCAAAAGTCGGAAACAAATAGCCTTTTATGGGTCTTGTGCCATTATTCTACCCACTTTTGTGGGGTTTATGTATTAATGAAGTTATAGAACTTGAGCGACAAGGCCTCAACCCTAAACCCTTACTTACCACAACGCTAGCCGAAACCCTCAACCCCAAACTCGAACCCAAATCACACACCCCAAGACACCCTGCCCAAAATCCGGAACCCTGAATCCTTGCTGCCCTAAACCCCTAAACCCCTACATAAACCCTAAACCCTACTGTAGAGCCTAAAATCCGAAACCCTGCATCCTTGTTGCCGACTGCCGCAGTCGGGGTCCATGGAGCTCCTCTGACAGCCGATCAGATCGACTTGCTGGCCCCTGGCTCTGCCGGAGTTTGGGGGTATATGCTGTATAGGGTTTAGGGTTTAGGGTTTGGTGTATAGGGTTTAGGGTTCAGGGTTTAGGGTTTAGGGTTTAGGGTTCAGGGTTCAGGGTTTAGGGTTTAGGGTTTAGGGTTTAGGGTTTAGGGTGGAGAGTTTAGGGTGTAGAGGGGGGGAGGGTTTGGGTTTTGTTGGTTGAGGCCTATGGTAGGGCTTAGGGCTTAGGGTGCAGGGCTGTGGTTTCCTTCTGTCTTTGTCGCCTGCTACTGCAATTTTCGTCATGACCATTTTGTCATGGTTCTGGTGGCATTTACAAGTCTCAGCAATGCTGCTATGGTACCTTTTGATTCATCTAAAAGTCGAGAAGTAGTCATACTGCCCCCGGATCGCTTACATAGCTATGCCAGAATATGTCAAAAAACATCCATACCAGGCCCCATATGACAAAACCCTTGTAGTAACCTCATTGTAACACATACTTATGGAACCGGTCAGGCAAGCCCTATATTCAAGCTAGCGTTTCGTCGTGCGCCGAGGTCGATCACGCGGTCTTCGATGCCAACAATACCCTCGACTGGCGAGCTAGGGACTTAGCAAGTTGCCCTTAGTTCCCCAATACCCAGCCTTTACATCTTTTGGCTTCCTATAATTTAGTAGTAATCTGAAAGTTTAACCTTTTATTTCCCAATAAGCCGTGCCCCACAACCCCGCTTGGACCCAGAAAAACCCGCGTTTGTTGAGGACTTTTAGGCGGAAATCACACAAACCAACCCCAAAAAGGTTCCTTCGAAAGTCTATCCAATTAAGAGCATATGTCAGCACATAATCAGGAACTCCAAAAAGGTAGGTTAAGGACGCATAGCGGGAAATCAGAAGAAGGAACCCTAGAAAAGGTAGGTGTTTGGGGTTCAGGTAAACCGTACAGCAAGGAAGGCATAGTATGAAGCCTCAAAGAAAGGTAACTAGGTGGCGTTCGGAATCCTAAAACCATAAGCCCTAAACCTTACAGCGATCTTGGCAAGCTGCCTGGTGAGTTGATGGAGGTCACGTCTGGCCGTTCGGGGTTTGGGGCTTTGGATCGGATGTGGGGTTCAAGGTTCAAGGTTGAGGGGTTGAGAGGTTTCGGGTTTAGGGTTCAAGGTTGAGGGGTTGAGGGTTTGGGATTCAACGTTTGACGGTTCTGGGTTTAAGGTTCAGGGTTTAGACTTTAGGATTCAAGGTTGAGGGTTTGGGGTGTGTAGGGTTGGGGATTTCAGGATCAGGGTTAGTTTCAGGTTTCGGGTTCATTTGGGAAATAGGGGTGTTGTTGGGTTTCTTGCCGTAGGACCTTGGGGGGCGTGGTGGTTCGGGTTCAGGGTACGTAGTATAGACGCCTAAATAAGTACCAATATTATACTTTCGGGTTCCTTATAATAAAAAGAGTATAGAGGAGCCCAAAACCCTATACCCTACACCCTAAACCCTAAACCCTATTCTACTTATTAAGGCCCCTACATTCTGGAGCTTCATGCCTGCAGGGCTCGGATTTTTGTTTGAAGCCTTCCATCTGCGCATCTCAAGATCCTTTTCTCTGTTGGAATCCGACTAAAGGACACTACAGGTGGGGAGTTTAGGGTTTATACCTGGACCCCAAAGAACCTACCTTTTTAGGGTTCCTTATTATGATTTCTTTGTATCAGTCCTTAAAAAGGTAGGTTATTTGGGGTTAAGGTCGGGCTTCTGTAAGGCTTCCATAAGGTATATAGACCTTCTATAATAAGGCTCCTATAACGGTAACGTAACTACTCACCTGAAAATGTCGAAGATCCAAGATGCCGTCGGATCGTTTCGAGACAGACCGGCTAAGGACTGCGAAAGCTACAGGTTTGGCTCCGCATACGGTCAGTCTATGTATATGTGGTTTGAGGGGAATGAAGCCTCTATTCCGTAAACCCTAAACCCTACCGCTCTACCTAGAAAACCAAAAAGAGACGATCGACATAAACCCTAATCCCTATAAACCCTAAACGACAGTCAATCCTGATTTGAGGAATCCCCTGCGAGCCCCCATGCTTCCCTTCTGCTGTCGCGAGGCCTTCCTCGCATCCTTTCAGCTTGCTGCCATCTCAGCTGTCCAGCTTAATTTAGAGGCCATATTACATGAGCATACCCAGTATATGCTAAATTACCGTTGAATCCTTCTCAGTAATCTGGCCTCCGTATTACAGATTGCCGTTTCAGGGCTCCTCTCGCTCGTCCTTGCTAAGATCGGAAGGATGCAATGAGCCGGCTTGAACGGTTTTCTCTGGCTGGGATACTTGCTTTCGAGGCTGCAGAGTTTAGGGTTTCATTTTAAATCGTATCCCCTTAACATACTTTCCGATATTACGATCCAGTGTTATTTATATTCTTGCAAGCTATACCATAGCCAAGCCCGGGTTCAAAGCACTGACGCCCCTACGCGAAAGAGGCGTCAGAATTGAAGCTTATCTGAGGTCTAGACGTTCCGATCGTCTTTGTCCGGATCTTCCAATATCCATTGAATAAGGAATGCACCCTTGTGGCATAATGGGATCCCTGATGAGGCTATAGTGAAAGATCCTACCCATGCGGTAGGCTGATCTTCGAAATGGTCTACACCCTAAATCTTAAACTTTAAGCCCCAAAGAGAGACCTAGGTTTCCGCAGCCCTGGTACCCAGAAAGCCCAATACCCCCGAAGCAAGAAATAGACCTTAAACTACAGGGGCCTTGATATTATGATTTATGGATGTTGAGGGTATAAATATTTCTTGAAGTAAGGGGTGTCCGTCTCTCTTGGTAGAAGCTAGCACCTTTGGGCGCTTTTTCTGTGCAACCGACGTTGCCCGTTAAGAGTGCGACTTGGATGAACATGATAGCATTAGGCAGAGGCGAGACGAAACAACCAGACGTTACCTTCGATCCGTATTGGGGTACCGAGCTTCTGATGGGGGTCTCCGAAAATAGGGGATCCTAAGATAGTGCCCTAAATAGTAGGATCCATCTTATAAGGACCCCAAAATAAGGTACCCCTTCTAGAGCCGGCCTTTGAGCCCCCGGTCTTCTTGGAGCGCGACAGGCGCAAGCGCGTGACGTGGCCGAACTGGGAGAAGTACCTCTGAAAAGACGGGATGCTATTAAAGGGGCCTCTTAGAATTAGAATAGGGTTTTGGGGTATATGATAGTACCTGCAGAGGGGAGGGGACTCAGAGGGAAGAATAGGGTTTTTGAGGTATATTATATACTATAACTATAATAAGGAACACCTCAAAACAGATAGGGGAAAGAGGGGCATCCATCCTCAGAGCTGAGGAGTGCACTTTCTCATCTGCGGCTCGAAGAAGCCGTTTGGAATGTGGCCTGGGTTTCAGGGCCGATCTCTGGATTTTTGACGAGAGCCGCCGATTCCGAGTGCTTCGCCCAGGTAAACCACGCCCTTGGGCTCCTTCTCCTCTTCCTCCTCCTCCTCCTACCGAGATATGGCTCACGCCGCCAATACCCGTGAACCCACGAAGCGTCAAACGTGACTCCAAGACCTCCAGGGCCTCTTTCAGGCGGTTCGCTTTGGTTCTTCGGGGCCTCAGCGAGGCCGACAGCTGCGTCTTCTGGTCTCTTATGCCGCTGAGACCTGTTATGAAAGATCACACATCCGTGCTGCGAAAGACCAGGGAGCAGCAGATCGTTGCCAGTTTTTGCTTCAGTTTTCTTGCTTATGTGATATGCTCGACCAATCTGGGACAGAACGGAGGGGCTAGATAATTATCGTGCAATCTCACCTGTGGCTTCTCCTCAGCAGCTCGTTGTCCCTGTACATAAGCTGACGCGCTCTTCTCTTCTGTTGGGTTTGTCCTTAGAGTGAGGTTGAGGTCGTGGGCTCCGATGTAACTCCAAGCGAGCGGCTTCTCCACGGCCTGAGCACGGCAAGCATGAAGCAAAAAAGACAACAGATCCGACTCGGGAGTGTTCTATGCCGATGGCTTTGTCGTCAGCTTCTCCCTTCGGGCAACATTAAGCAAAGATGATCTGGTTCGCTCTTCCGGCCAGTCGCTTTGCGAGAGGCAGCAAGAAGCGACGTGCTTTTGACATCTTCTCGGTGGCAACACCGGTGCTCGCCAGCAGCCAGGAAAACTACACATTGGAACAAGATAAAGGTTTGCATGGCGACGCAACGTACCCGTACCAGCTTTGTGACAGCGCTTGCATTCAGCGGAATCTGGTGAAGTGCCAACACGGGTAAGCAGCTGCTGTTAAATCAAAGGGCTCCTAACTTCTTCCGAATGATTTGCAGCAGGTCCTCCTTTACCATTCCACAAGTCGGATAATTTATCCTCGTATCCGGATTTCCAACCAAGACGCGCTCGAAAGAGGACTTCGTGATAGGTCGGAAAAGAACCCCAGAAGCCAACGGATTGGAGTCAGACTTGAGAAGCATCTGCATGGAGTCATCCAAAGGCCCCAGGCACTTCATGTCATGACAAATGAATCCAAGCGACTTCGGGTTCCGCTCCCTGAGTCGCGATGCGAGCTCCGAGAAGGCCGTCGGACCTACTTCCGAGCTGCAGAGAAGGATCCCATACGCCGGCTGCACCGTCAAAGCCATTCTCATCGCGTCCACAGTGCTGACTGCCAAGTCGAAGTCGAAATGGGCCCGTTTCAAGACCTCCTGCGTCTGAAGCTGCAGCTGGAAGTTGTTAATGGCTTTGGTTGACTCGGCGACAGCGGTAGCGGCAGCACTCTGCATGGAGGATGCTGATGGCGCTGGCTCCAGTACAAGCACACGAGGCTTCGAAAATGCCATATATCGCAAACGGGATGCGAAGCCGATCCCTCCGTTCCGAGGTCCTGTTGGGTTCTCGCTGAACACCAGCTCACCTCGCGCAAACATCAGGAGCCAGGGAGCTTCCCGAACACCATAGTTTGTGACCAAGGGATTCGTATTTTTGCCAGCTGAATGAATGGCACCAGCTTCTGCCAAGTCTGTTACGAAGAAGAGCACGTTGTCTCCGGCTGCCTTCAGCTCAGACCAGGCACCTTCGGCCATGACGTGGGCATGGGAGCTGGAACTGTACTGAGACTTGCGAGCCCAGCTGGCCACCACCAGCACGACCATCAGCTGGCCACCCTCAAGGCTCCCGGCTCGGCTTTCCACTTCATGGCATTGGATGTACTGTAAGGAAGCTGGCGGGTTCAGAACCACGGGTTCCGAGTAGGGCTTTCCTGGGTGTGGCTGAGGCCACAGAAAGCCTTCTTTCAGAGCCTTGTTAATAGGCAGCCTTCCAAGTTTTGGATGGACCTTGTTCGCCAAATTCTGCTTGAGAAGGTGGTCATGTGTGAAGTCAATGCGCCCTTCTGCAAACTGCTTGAATGCCTCCAGCGGAAGCCTCATGGTTCCTTCAGACGCGGACTTCTTGAGCTTTGCGGCTGGGGCCGAAGTTTCATGCAGACTTGTAGCAGTTGTACTCAGACAAGAACTGCTATTCTTGAGCGTCTTGTCAAGTAAGCTCGTGCTTTCTGTCATGATCACGCATGAAGTATCGAGAGAAGCCTGCGAAGACAGATTGATCGCGCCATTAATCTCTAGAGGATTCGTGGCGGCTGGCAATCCATATCCGCGGGAGGAGAGCTTCCAGACTTCACCAACATAGAAGGTGTAGCTTACACCTCCGGAGTTGAAATCCAGTGAAGTCGTTCCACTTGCTGGGTTGTATGTGACCACAAGTTCTGGGCAAAGGCGCAAGCTTAATGGATCAAGCGAGGTCATGTCCCCTGCCAGTGCCGCACGGCTCATGCGAGTTTTAGAACCGTTCGGCCCAGATGTGATCACAATGACATGGGTTGGCGTCACTTCGTAGGAGCCTCGACAACCCGTTCCATCCGGTGGAGACTCAAAGAGGCCTATGCCCCATTCATCCATTGCCCCGAGAAGTCTCGTGCGACCGCGATCGCGCTTGGGGTCTTCAGGGCTGGCAGAACGGAAATGTGGAGAAGACTCCGAGACAGCAGTCTTGACGCTGAAGACGGAGCGTGCATAAGCAAGGGCACTGAAACGTCTCGATTGATGGTGCGATGACACGCAAACCGCCTTCTTGCCTGAAGGGTAGCTGGCGACGCCGCTACCGTCCTCTTGGCATTGCACCGCGGCAAGTCCTTCTGGGTAGGAGAGGTTGACCAAGGGAAAGATAGGTCCCAAATCTGAACGAAGATCGCCATGCTGTGCAGACCATCTGGGATCATTCGGACGGCGAGGCTCAAATTGCTCGCCGGCAGCTCGCCGTCTGGGCTCAAGGATTTTCGACTTGGACATCAGTCCAAGCGCATTTCCATGGACGGGTGCCTCGAACTACTCTGGCTTTCAGATTACAGGGCCGCGATGCTTTGGGCCCTGCACATTGCCTTGAGCCCGAATGATGAGCCATGATGCCAATTCCTTCGCAGCTCTCAACATCAAAGCACTGCTCGCTCCGCTCGCTCCGCTCTCAGCTGCCGGGGGCTTTCCGAGCCTCTACCGTCTCAACGGCCTCCTCCGCGGCCTCCTCCTCCGCTCCCTCGGCCTTGCCGACCGCGACAAGCCCCCCCCCCCCCCCCCCNNCTAGCCCCCCCCCCCCCCCTATGACCGCTGCAAAGAGTGCACCAGGCGGTGGTGGGTCCTGCTCTTCTTCCGCAGACTCAGACTCCTTCTCGGCTACTTGTGCCGGGGCTGCCTTTGCCTTCGGCGCTTTCTTCGATCCCTTCTTCCCCTGTGAAAGGCATCAGGAGCAGAAGAGATACCTCTTGAGGCAGGTTCCGGCACTACTTCGCCTTCTTGGCAGACTTTGCCTTTGGCATCGCGGGAGGCCTGCGCTTCACAAGCCAAGTCATCGCTGCTATCCCCGACTGAGCACTTCAGAATGCTCGATGAAAAATGGAGAGCCTCCAAGGAGGACGGGATTGGCCAAACCTTGATTATGTGAGGATGACTAGGAATCAGCAGTGGGTTTGAGTAATTGCTGTGGTGTTTCGTTGGAACCTCCCATGTGTTGTTGCAGCACTTTGTAGTTCGGTCTGCTTGAGTTGAAGCGGCTGCGCGAGAGCAACCAATCTGTTCCAGCTTTCACAGGGCACGCAGAGTGGAGCACGAACCAAGCCAGTACAATCTAGTACTTCCGTCATCCTCATGCAGGCTGAAGTTTTGCTGAAGTTTGAAACAGCATTCAAATCCACCTCCTCATCTGCTTCTTCAGCAAGTGATCCGGGGCCTCGCAGCGAAGCTCCCAGTGCTACCAGTAAGCCAATAAAAGCAAATCACAGTTCCACACAGATGCACAGCCCTTGCCTTTTGCTTTGCAGCAGAATGCCGGGTAGTCGAAGCTAGAATGAGCCTACCGGTGCAAGAGCCTGCAGAACTGAAAGAGGTCACCACGAGGATCCAGCGTGCCTTTCTGACCTCTTTCTGACCCTGCCACTTTGCCTCGGTGTCTCGCGTTGTCTCGCAAGCCCTGAACCCGTCGGCAGAGTGCCTCAGGCTTCGCATTGTTGATGTCCACAGTGTGATCCAGCCTGATGCTGCAATCTCCGTCATCGGAAGCTTTTGCTGCGACATCCGACATAGAAAGCGTGACAGGTTTGCAGTGAATCTTCGTTGTAGAACAAAGGCTTCCCCAAGAAGTCAGTATGATATTCTGGCGCAAGCACCACCTCGCACACGAACGAATTTCGAAAGCTGTCTACCAGGACGAAGGTGATAATAACGCCTCTTCCGGTTCAGCAGCAGTACAGCAAGAGGAGGCCTTAAGAGTGCAAAGCGTGCAACACACCAGCCAATCTCGCGTGCAAGTGGGTGCCAGACCAATTTGGCACCCATGGGCCTTAAGCTGCCGCACGTCCCAGCGCAGGCCTTGCCACGCGAATCTGTGATGTTCCAACAGTTGAACTCCGACAACGAGACCGCTGCCAAGACCGCTCGAAGGCATTGTGCATGGCACTTCCCGCTTGATAGGGATGCCTTGACTACTGTGGAAAATTGGGCGTTCATGTCCGATTTCGACCGCTAGGCACCGTCGGAACTTCTTCGCTACCTGCAGTTTTATGCTGTGCACACGACTGCAAGATGTTGGGCATGTCAAGGCCCGTTGGCTGGTGAGCCGTAAAATGACTACGAGTAGCTTGATGTGTGCATGTCGGAGGCGATTGCAGGGCAGGCAAGACCGCTCCGGGCCCTTACATATTTTCCGGTGGCATTGCTCGTTATCTGCTCCAGCACATACATCTGTGCTTGGTAGAACAAGCATTCCCATGGCTGATAGCTCGGCAACCTCAACGGCTACTGGTAAATCGAGCAGGGGCTTCAAATACGGTGGACGACTCTACTTCATCTGGACAAGTTGATGCAAAAGGAAACGATGACAGAATGGATCCAACATCAAGTCTGCCTAACAAGTTTGTCTGCAAGAAAGCTTCTGAGGACCGAGGTTTCAGCATGGAAATGGAACTTCCAAGGATCAGAATCTCAACGTGCTGGTCGCACATGAAGAAGTAAGGGGTAACGCCTGCAACGGAGATGGTGCCTGCGAGAGATAACAAGTTATTGTTCATCCGAGGATCTTCATGTGCGCGCTCCGCCGGCACGTCAAAAATCCTTGTGCTGCGCTTGTGACCCCCTGCAAGGTGCGACGGGCCACTGCTGTGCTTGCTAGTGAACGTGAACCTGGTTAGTGCTCTGTGGCACGTAAAGGCGCGAGACTCCACACAAAGACCAGCAAAACTCTCACAAACGACGGAAGCAATAAGAACACCCATAAGTACAGAGCATGCCGAGGCGAAAAGAGATCTCGCAAAATTGCTCAGACTCCGGTCCTGTTGCCGTCACTACTTCGGGAAGATCGTGCAGTCTGGCACTGCCTGTCGTCCCATCGAAGAGCTTCTTTGGATCCATGGCCTGTCTGGTCAGAAACCGGGTGGCTTCGGCTTTCAGACACTGACACGCTGAGCTTGGAGCGGTGTTGACACATTGACCGCACGAGCAACTGTGTCCTTCGGCGGCGAATGCGGTCCCATCCCAGCGAAAAATATCCAGACAAAACCCTTCAAAAGGAGCTCTGGACTCAACCGAATTGCTCCCGAATCCCAAAGATGCGCCGATCGGGAACCGAGCAAAGCAATACTACCCGGCTAAGCCGCGAGCTGAAGTGGCACCAGGCCGCACATCATGAGGTAGATCCACCTCTGCTTGTGAATCGGCGCGATATTAGGTGTGCATGGAAACTCATGACAAAACTCGAAAAGCAGATGAAGTTTTACTTCCGACTATACGACATCACCAAACCAAAAATGCGAAGCTGACTTTTGCTGGACTTCCAGACCGAGGAACTGCAAATGTAAGATCAGTCGGCACGAAGCGATCTACCTGGCTGCAACGGTTCCACGATTTGGGCTTGGATCGAACAGCGATGCATCTGTCGCCGGAGTGCCAGTGGCAAAAGCAATCGAAAGGCTCTCGGCGCAGGCACTCACACATGGCTTGGCTTGCGGGATGGGGATTCCACACGGCATATGACACCCTCAGCTGCTGAAATGCCAACGCACCAGTATGGAACGATCTCGTCGTCAGAATCAGTGTCATCCTGCAACATGCCACGCAATCTGGCCCCACTCTTTAGAACACTGAGACACGTGTCCGGCCTGCGAGGCCCACTGCCGGATGCGAGGACCAGTGCCCCACCTGCTAGGCTAACGAGATCTCACGAACGGCTCATTGCATTTTGCTGCCCCCCTTAAGGCGCTGGCCCTCTGGTCTGCCTCGGGGGCGGCGGAGCCACCCGCTCGGAAGCCTTCTCCCGCCTCGGTGGAAGTGCCGCCACTTTGCCGCTCCCTTCCACTCCCTTGAACTTGAACCCCATTTCCGGGTCGCAGACTCGTCGCTGTGAAGCGAAAGCTCCGAGTGCGACTCCGATTCGGAGACGGATGCCTCGACACACTGTGGCGGTCGGAGCCCCAGAACATACGATCAGCGTATCATTACATTTCAATCGAACCTACAAGCGGCTTTACAGTACTGGCTCCCTGCAGCGAAACAGGATGCGCGCCTCTGACTCTGACTCTTCCTCTTCGCTGCTGCTCCTCATTTTCCACTCGGCGGCTGCTCAACATCCCATGGCACTTGCTTCTGCGGACACAGTGACAATCCTGTGCTCTGAGCTTCCCGACTCAACCTTCCTCTTCGGCGGTCGATTCCGCATCCGGGGATTCCGCTGCCGACGCCCTTGTCGACGCGGTGCCTGGCGAAAGAGGCGATAGCTTAGTGCCTCGTCACCGCGGTCGGATATCTAGCGTTCCGCTCCCTGCCTTGGGACGCTGCTGCACTGAGCCTTAAAGGCACTGTAAGACTTTAGGCAGAACAGGATGTGAAGTTAAAGCTGCAACTATGACTGTAGCACCCTACATGCTCAACTCTTTGCTTTTGGGCAGCCTTTCATCATCAGGTCGTGAAGCAACTGCTCCGCATGCGCCCGCGCCTGCGGGCAAACACAATCCAATCATTGACCCAATCTGGTCGGGCTGGCTCCGATCACTCGCCTAGGAATGTCCCGCCTCTTGACGATGTCCACAGATCAACAGTACATCTGATGTGCTGCTGTCTCCCTGGAAGAAGCAGAAGGTTCCGGACTCCTCGGAAAGCTTTTAAAGCATTTTACTGTGAAGCGGCATCGCTTTTACTGGAGGCTTTGTTGACCCTGGGGCCACACAGTGACTACCCGCATTTCCTGTCCTTTTCGACTTCGCGCAGCGAGGCAGCTTTGGTCAAGCCGCGCATCTCCACCGGCACCTTGCGGGGAGTGGCACGAGTCTCCGGGACGCCGCGTGGTCTGGCTTCGGCGGACCTCCATCTCCATCACATCGTCCCGACCGGCTATGTCGATGTTCACTGGGCCGGTGCGTTGCCAGGTGAGCCACATGAGGTAGTCCCTGCAGATATGCGGCTGAACTGCAGCTTCAGGAGATTTCAGGAGGGTTTGGATGCACCCAAACCGCACCTTGCCCGCTTCCGTTCTTCCAAGGTGCCGGCCATGTAGGCTACATTGCCAACCTCAAGTCGGCAGAGCTCAACTCGAGCAGGCTCCCCCTTTCAAGGCCCCCACGTATTCTAAGACGCAGCCGCTGGCTCTCGCCTGCTGCAGAACATCCGCAAACCGCGCAAGAACCGCTTGGCACAAACTTCGCCGGCTGGGCCAGCTTCCTCCTTGTGGCACCATCCTGAACACAGCTTCACTCTTTTCTGCCCTTGCTCTGAATTTCTCGTTGTTTGGATGGCTCTCGGACATTACCATCATGGCCCGGCACGAACTTCCGGGGATTTTGGAGTCGGCGAATGCTTTAGTTGTGAAGCTCACGAGCTACATCATGTCGGAGGAAGTCTGGCCCTCCTCCTTGCTGATGCAGCATATCACCCGGTGTGTTTCGGTTTTTCCGCCCCCCCTCCGCGGTCGCACTGGAACTATTGTATTTCACACTCAGATCCGTCACAAGAGCCTCGCGCAAACATCATATATCTATGTTTCCATCCATCTGGCACCCTGTGAGGATTCTCTACATCACGTACTATGCGCCGAGAATTGGTAAATGAGAAGAGCTGATGTTGCAATGCTGCGCAACTGACGGTGATGAGCATCTACCGTCATTCCCATCATCATCCCGGCAATCGACGGTTTCAACATGCATTGCTTCGGTTCTTGACCTGCTCTTGCTGCAGGAATAAACAAGCAACGCCCGGGAACCTTGCCTTGCCAAGTGCAAAGGAGAGCTCGTCTCCGGGAAGGGGCATCGTGTCAACCTGCGAATCTCTGATGAGCTTCGTTCTCTTCCACCGGTAGCCGCAGTCGTTTTGACCTCCCTCTATCCTCTATCTGTACCATTGCCCAACCACGGCTTCGGTCCCTATCCAAGGTCGCTTCGAAGCTGGGGCAGGGACGCCCCATGGGCCATCATACTGGAAATCACCGACCTCGCCGTGCGATGCCAACCCGCTCTTCTTTGCAGTTTCGAGGTCTGTTCCGCTCCCTGGCCATCACCCGCTGCTGCGCAGCAAACGCGTCACACATGCAAGAATGCGTAGCCCAGGTTCCGACTCCACGCGTGAAGAACCTGGCCGAGAACGCTCGTTCTTCTGCCCACCAACTTCTGCAAAGGCTAAAGCCCTCGGTACCAGACACCTGCGTGAGCACAGTGCCCGAACCTACTCAAAGCTCTTGAGCCCTCGCTGAACTCGTCAAAGCTGCTGAGGGATCTTGGTCTCGACGGCGCCCATAACCTGCTCACGCTGCTTGTTGTTGTAGGAGCGGACTTAGAAGATGAGTGCAGAAGCACAAACATCAGGTATGCGTGGGCACAGACACACAAACACGAACACACACGCATGCAACAACGTTTGTGTTTTAATCTATTGTCGTCTTCTTGCTCTTTCTCGCTTCTTCCACACAGTCAAAGAAGGAGCAGCAAGGCCCCTCCCGCGCACGGACGCGCCCTGCTTGTCTCAGTCTCTGTGTGAAAGCTTTAGTAGATGAGGACAGCCGGTTGTCGACACTTACACGCCTCTCTCGTGAACTCTAGGAAAATCCCGCGTCCCATCCAAAAGGCGGTTACCGGCTCTGTTGTTCAAACTCGCAGCTTATCGCGAGCCTGCAACTTTTTCCCGATGATGGACGACTTCAAACTCCTTTCTCGCTCTCTCTCTCTCTCTCCACATAAATATCTGTGTACACGTGTATATATATATATATTTTTTTTTCTACATATATATATATATACATGTATAGAGTTTATTACACCTGTATATCGTTTGGTTGTATGCAAACATGAGCTGTTCCACATAAATGCACGATTAAGCTTAGTGCACAGTGTTCGGTTGCATCATGTCTCGCTGCAAGACATTGTGTTTCGACCACTCCTCGCCCTAGCAATCACCAAGAAGTAGTCGTACTTCTGTAGGGCATCACGCCAACCAAGGGATCGAACGACTGACCGTGACAGGTTAGTCGTTCTTGCCATGCTGTCCGACAAGGACAAATCTTTGGTGCCTCAGCCAATGAACCAATGCGTGTGACCGCTTGCAGCAGGCAGGAGCGGACAGACTTCTGATCATGACCAATAACCAATGTGGCCATTGGCCGTTGGCAGGATCGAGTATCTTTCAAGGCCAGGTATAGGACCGTGCCATGAGATGCGCCCCAGCCACACAATGACAAACACGACTGCTCCAAACTTAAATCTATAACTGGCCGTGCAGCACAATTCGGATGAAGTTGCACTAATCAATCAAGACAGGAACGCCGGCTTAAATCTTCAAACTTCTGCTTTACTCCTACCCTGAGCTGGCTTTCGTCCACGGTAGCGTTAGCGGGGCATCTTGGACGCTGCTTTGGACACAAGCTTTCCGATCTCCGTCACTGACGCTGCTGACCTCAATCCGGATCCTTTACACCTCGCCCTGCAGGAGTGGGCACTTGGAAAGTGTATTTCCTTTCGCAGCCTCATACTGACTGTGCAATCAAGATGAAGAAGCCCGGTACAGCCGTCGCAGCTTTTCAACTCTACAAGGTGCCAAAACACCTCGGATTGATGCCGAAATATGCCGCGAATTGCGCAGTCCTGTTTGCGGATCCACGCCATGTCCTTTGCGTTCCTTTACAACGAAACGATTACGGAACATAATTTCCGTCATGTCTGCCCACCTGCTCCGTGGCTTCACGAAGGTGTGACGACGGACTTTGTGCTCAGAATGGCAAAGCGCTCCGTCACAGCTCTGTCGCTGGGCATAAAATTTTGCTGCCTGCTTTGTCTGTCCTTTGTTGAAAGCTTCAGCTGCTACTGAGCTGCTCCTCCCAGCCCACTCCGACCCCTTCCCTCCACTACGAGGACTGAGGTGCCCTTCCCAAGGCCTTCAGCTCTGTGCCCGCGCGTCCACGTTCGGAGCCAAAGATGGCCAGGCCCTCCACATCATCCTGCGCCGCAGGCAACTCAAGGGGTAAGAGCTCCTTTGGGTCTCCGGGAACACCCGGAACCTATCCGGATGCTTGTCATCCGTCAGTTATCGGTTCAGATCTGGTCCAGCTCACATTGGCCCAGAACATTTGACTGAGAATGTGGCGCTTCGACAAAATGCGTGCCTGTTGGTACGTCGGAGGAAGGCCCCTGCTGTCCACGAAGAAGATCAACGTCTCCCAGTCCTGTGGGGGCTCGAACCCACACACACACACACACACACACACACACGGACTACTGTACCATAAGTTGTATACCCATCTTACCAATCATTCGCCGGAATACTCAAACATACATGACATGCTGAGTGCTCGCGTGAACACCTCGATCCGCCCCCGCAAATCATGTCGAACCCAAAGGACGGCATCACTCCGAAAAGAGCACGCAAGTCGGGAAGAAGAGCGGGCACCTCTTCCAGGCGGCTCAAGGTCTTCCGCCTGGCGGGGTCGTAGGCTAGCGGCAACCTGTCCTGCGCACTTCTGGAGCTGAGCTGAGCTCCCTGCTTATCGCCCATGACATATCCAATGCAATCTTTAGGCACTGGAACCAGGGTCACATCTTCGCGCACTGACGGGTCGATGGAGATTCGGCCTTCCACCGAAGACATCGACTGCATGCTTCCGGTCATGCCCCCGACCCCGGCCGCCGCGGCCTGTCTTGTTTCCAACTTGGTCGCAAAGCCAACCTGACGGCATCATGATCAGGATGCGGGCACTTTGCTGCAATGTTACTGCACAGGTCTTTTATTGAGTGCCCTATGTACATCGTCATCAATGTCCGTTCTCACACAGAAATGCAGCCGTCACTGTCCTGTGTCCAGAGCACGGGAAAATCGCGAGTCTGCAAAATGCAGTACAGCAATATAGTTCCAAAAGAGCGGACACGCCTAGGTATTCTCTTCCGCGGCGCCGGTTTGGCAAGTAGCCAGCCTGATAGACCATTCGCATATTTTTAATCACTCTTCAGAAGGCAGTGAGCCCTGGACCATGAACGCAACGTTGCCGACATACTCCATGATGCAACCTCAATATGGATATCGCGACATGCAACATGCAACTTATAGCAATGCTAGTTAGAATCTAGATAGCAAGTGCGTCTTCAAGTCCTGGCACCCTGTGCTTCTCTACAAATTGCGAGATGTCCGAACTCCAGCCGGCAATTGCAACGAAGCCGCCGCTGGCTTTCGCCAGCTTTTGGCGCGTGGAGCCCTTGCGGCCCAGCACGTAGGATAGCTGGTCACTGTGCATGGGGTAGGTGTCCGTGCCCCACCTGACATGCTCATCCGAGGCGTGTTGCTGCGAAAGCCATCGAGTTTACCTGAGGCAAGGGCTCGTCCCAAGACTGGGTCTCCCCAAGGTTCGTGGTGTAGAAACCCGGGAGCTTCGTCTCAATGGCAGCCATGACCTGATGTCCACTCACACTCACGACGGAGCCAAGTGGAAGGACGTCACACAAGCAATGTCACCACTCACCCCAGCAAAATACGACTTGCCTGTCTTCTGCGAACTCTTCTACTGAGGGAGGCCTTCAGCTCGGCACCACAGCGTGCCCAAAGCGTCCCGAATATGGCAAGCTTTTCCTTAGCCGTTTTATCTACAGTTGTTGAAGAAACGAGGACGCGACTGCTTGCAACGAGTGTTGAGGCAAGTTATGGCAAGTGACGCCACTATGGAGACTGCAAGTGTGGCTTTGGGTGATGAGTCAGCTCGAAAGCAGCCCCCCAACAGCCGACATCTTTGCCCAACATGCTGACGTCCCTTCTTCACGGCCAGGCCGCTGAACTCCCGCCCCACATGTCCAAGCTTCCACCTTTCATCCAGAGTGCCGTAGCACAGATGCCATCTAAACACTTCATACCACTTCCAGATGTTGAACCCCGCTCTTTGTCCGACTGCGGAAGGTCAAATGCAAGCGCCTCCTTGGTAGTCGCAGAAGAACATCAGGGTACCCCATTCCTTCAGAGCTTTAGCACACCGCTGCGTGGTATGTCGTTATAGCAACTCCATTCCACGGAGTTGCCCCGACTAAGGACTTCGATTTTGGAGTAATTGTCAACTTTTCGAAGTTTTGACAAGCGAGCTCGGGCACTTGTCATGCCTCCTCGCAGGTTCGAAGGAAGTTGCCCTGGCTGCCAGTGACGAAGCCTTGGCTATGGAATCACACTCTCCACACGCCAAGGCTGGTTTTTTCCCTTCCACAAGGCTGATGTGATTTCCATTTGGTGACAGCATGCCGAAACGGCTGCCTGAGCTCCTAACCCACACAGCTGCTCGGAACGGCAATGAGTGTCAGGTCCTGCATGCGAGTACTTTTCTGCTCGCTTGCAAGGGTCGAGGCTTCAGTCATGCATTGCTCGGTATCACCCAGGAGATGCGATTCAGCCAAGGCATCCCGAGCCGAAACTCTTCCGCCGCATAAAACCTTTCCCGGTCCCCATCATCGTGGGACTCATCGACGTGCACGGGTCCAACTCTCTGAGCACGAACCAAGTCGATGTACTTTCGTGCTCGAGCGCGGGCTTCGCTGTCGCCTGGAGCGGGTGATGAGGCTACTTAGAAGCCGGATGGTTCCTCTCATAGCACAGCTGCAGCACGTTTGAGGTCACTACCGTAGATCTCAACCGTGCTGTTGCGCTCGTGCAGCTCCAGCTGCGCGGCCGAAACCTCAGTGTTTTGTTGGTTCGGACATCTGCACGCCCGCGACTTGAACTCGCGTGTGCGGTGTGCAAGGTGCCCAGCCCTTGCAATTTTGTGCTTGGTCTTTCCACCACGGCCGAGGATGAAAGCAGCGTCGTCCTTCCAGTCCATGCTATTTCCGTATCAGCCGTGCGAGTAGCCCTCTTGCAGCGGTCCTCGCTGACACGGAGGACGTCGCAGTCGCGGCCGGCTGCGTGGAAGGCGCGGCCTGCTGACATGTTGCATGCCGTGTGCGCCATGCTATGTTTCGCCGTCTTCAGAGCCACCCCGTAGCAAGTTCCTGAGACTATGGTTCTGCCTTGCCCACCGGAGTGATGTGACGGTTGCTCGTCGCGCCGCTTGATGGTGACGTCCTGAGTAGAGCCAAGCGTGCATTGTTGTAGAGTTCCAACTGTGTTTGACTGCCAGCAAAACTCATGCTGTTGCATGGGCTGGCCAAGGATCTGCATTGTCAAGCTCGAGCCCATGGTCTCGGTAAAGCTCGTGAATGACCTGCTGACCGCACGTGCTGCGCACGTCACGAGATTCATGCCGCGACTCTTCAACAGCATAGTCACGGGTTTCACCAGGTAGCTTGAACATGCTTGAACTAAACGTGGCACCAGCGCTGACACATCTGAAGCACCGGGCAGTACCAAAACAAGCCCTCGCAGGCCTTGAAGGTTTGATCCACGCTGTCCTGGTGTCCCTGAATCTTGAGCCTCATAGCAGATCATAGCAGTTCTGCGTGCCTTCCGGGGCGAAGCAGTTAAGGTTGATCCGGGGCTTGGGCAGATCCTTCGGCTCCTCGACTTCGGCAGAAGAGATCCAGGGCATGGGCCGAATATAGTGACCTCAGAGACGTGAAGGTTTCAGAGTCTAGCAGTAAGCGACAGCTATCGGGGCACCGACTCACTTTGTTCGCCAGTGCTGCTGTGATCCTGCAGAACTCTACTTGTGGCATCTGTGCCATTTTGGACCTGTGACTTCCACGAGTCCAAAGACTCAGAGCCGCACTGCGGCTGCATCTTGACTTTGCCTTGGCTCTCGGATCGTTCAACAAACTGTGCTTCCTGTGCCGTCGCTCTGCAAGGATGCGAGTAATGATACTCCTTGTGGTGCAGGTCTGCTTCTAGCGCCATTTGGTCCAGGGCTCAGGTGACGAACCTGTCCGCGAACTGCTGCAGCTGACGCTTCGCCTTGCACGGCTGAAGCTGACGGGTCTTTGGCGAAAGGAAATCTTCGAGTCATTCTCTTTTTAAAATATCTGGCAGGATGGAGTTGCCAGGGCACAGAAACCCAGGGCCCGGTAGCTGCGGTTCTTCTGAGGCCTCGGCCTGGCCGACCTTCTCCGAGGTCCCTTGGATTTGGATCATGGCCTTCTCCTTCATCAGCCTGGCGACACGGAGCCAATCTGCGATGCTATGCCGCTCAGAGACACCAGCAGAAAGCACGCCCGGAAAGCGTGAGCTTGGTCCCAGTTGCATTTTCGACGTCCTGCAGTGGTCAAAGAACAAGAACATGCACTCGCACGTGTCGCTCAGTGCGACTTCATGACCCAGATTGACCCATGTCACCTCGATCACAGGGTCTTCGCCATTTGGGCCTGTCTGGATCATAACCTGGTTGGCAAAGCGAAATTGCCAGGCAAACTTCTGACATTAGCAACCTTGGTGCGCGCGACTACTTCTGCTGCTGCTCTTAACCTGAAACCTGCTACTCCTGCCAGACTTCTACCCCTGTTCGTGCTGGTGGTGGTGGTAGTAGTAGTAGTAGTAGTAGAAGTGGTGTGAGCAGCAGCAGCAACCGGCAGGCGGAGGAGGACAACGACGCCGTGATGGTTTGCTAGTTGCTCTCTCACACACCCACGGCGCTCAGCGAGTGCGCTGAGGCGTCTGCATGGACGCTGATGTCGCCTCGAAGAAGGAAACTGTCACCTCAAGCCCGATACCACAATCGTAGCAGCAACGGGGCGGAGGCAGCTACCCAGTACAAGGCCACGCCCGAGAGAGCTTCGACTTCGCTGCAATGCACACATGTCTCATGTAGGGCGAGGACTCACTTCCAGCGGCTCCTGCCAGCCGCCGTAGTGCCTGTCGCCTTGGGAGAATGAGGTTCCCGTATGCGGTTCTTCTATATTTGACACCAAATCACTCTGACAAGGCCTAGCGCGGCTTCACACCAGCTCTCAACGCGGGCCTTGGTTGGACCAGTCGTACTCGCCACCCCAGCCTCGACAGGAGCTCCCAAATGAAGCGGATGGACTTCTTAATTCCAAACTTCTACAGAGCAGCGCTCGCACCTCCATCATCGTCATTCCTGGCAAGCAAGTGTGTGCTCCAGTGCTCCGATTCGGGTGCAGCGAGTGGTAACGCAACTTTCTCTTGCCTGGTATCCTCGTTGTAACTAGACTAACTTCTGCAGAGGGACAGAGCACACGGCCTAAGGCCTAAGGTCCCAAAGCCCTCAGCAGTCCCTCAGCAGTCCTGTATCTTTCGTCAATCTTTGCCAGCGCAATAGCCTTTGCCTTTTCTCTTCCTGCCTTGTCGTGTCCGAAGATGAGGAGCCTGCCGTAGGGCCGCAGGCCAGACAAACGCGGGAGACTTGCGATCCGTCGCCTCTCGGACTTGCTGGAATTGCCCTCCAAGAAGCAGAAGGTCTTTGTTTCCTTCTCAAGGTAGCAGCCGGGCTAGGATGACACTTGAGTCTGCTGTGCCACCCGCCATTTGCCTGCTCAATTCCGCGCAGAGTCATGCTCTTGAACACGCTGGCAACAGCCTGCATGTCGGTCAAGCAAAGGGGCATTCTGTCGTCGCTCTGAAACCTTTTTCAAACTCCTCCGTTTGACATCGTCAGCATTCAAGCCGTCCAATGCCGGGATTAAGGGGACGGCCGTGGCCTCAAGGTCATGCGGAATGTCCACAATCGTCACATCGTTTCCTTCGCAAGATGCCATCAAGTGAAAAGGCTTATCATGGATCCCAAATATGAAGGCCAGTTCAGTTCATTCAACTCAGAACATAGAATCAATGCTCTCAATATCTTTTAATCAAGTATGCTTTCCCAGCAACAACTTTTGCACACCGAGAATCGATTATGGGTGTCCACATACACGGTGCCCGTCCGCTGCTTCAGCAGCCATCCGAGGTATTCTCTTGCGCGCCTGCAATACGCACGACGGGAGAGGCTCAATACTCGGCCACGACAACTGATTGAGAGGAAGGGAATGTAATCACGATGCACCCAGCGACTCAAAACTGCTTTCAGCTCTGCTGCACCTTCGAGCTGGAAGAGATCCAGCCATAAAGGCAGCATGTCCGACATACCTCATCCACGATAAAAACCGTTCATGCAATGCAGTGTGAGGGTAGGCTCCTGCCCTCTCCGGATGTTCTGCTACGTCCGACTGTCCAAAACTCAAACCTTAAAACCATGTATTGACGACTTGAACTGCATCATCGTTGTATTTGTTAAGTTATTATTGGAAAACTTGTTATCGCTGCTGACGCCTATCGTGGTCTGTACTCGGTACTAGTAACCACCGCTCTCTATTCCTATCATGACTGCTACACACCTTTAGCTTAAAAGCTGCAGCTGAGAAGCTCCAGGATGCATCCGCTGGCCTTGGCAAGCTTCTTGCGGGTCGCACCGTCCTGTGGGCGGAATGCGACAGCCAAAAAGGTTTTGGCTGTAGAGTTTTTTTCAGTTTCGGCTTCGTCAGGTTGAGGGGTTTAAGGCTTCCAAGTCTTGGGTTCCGTGCAGCTCAGCAGTTCCTTTGGCAGTTCCTTTGGGCTCCTTCCCCAGCGCGAAGGAGAGCTCGTCGTCTCCCAATGGAATCGTGTCGCGTCCCCACTCGTCCTGGGCTGGAGGCTTCGATCCTCTTCTTCGCGGGTTTGGCATTGAGGACTTTGGGATTGGCTGAAGGATGAAGGCGATGGAGGTTTCGTGGCTCCGCTCTGGTGTTTTTTCGCGGTCCGAGGATCTTGGCAGCAATGGTCAGTGATGTTCTTGGTGTAGAAATACCTGCGATGGAGTGCTCGGAGTCTGGGGCCGCGGATCGGCGATCCGAGGGGAGCCCCTGGGCTCCCGGCGGCAGCTTCGCCTCAATCGCAGCCATGACCTTCAGCTCTGCCCCGGTCCTCCCGGCTCGGGCTCCGAAGATGGCCTCAGCACCCAGCGGCGTTTAAGGGAGAGCAGCTGCAGTGCGAGCTGAGCCAGCAGCCAAGTTTTCGGAGTCTCCAGGACTTCCACCAGGACCTCAAAGCAAAGGCGAAGGAGCTCATAACGACTGACCAGTCTTGTGTTGACCAGTGCTTTCGAGACAGCGTGAGAGTCTTTCCCTTGGCTTGTGCTCGACCTGGCCTTGGTAGTCACAGAAGAACATGAGGGTGCCCCACTCCTCCTCGCAAGTCCTGCACGAGTGCAGAAACCCCCCAAACACTCTACTCTTAAGCCGATCGAGCTGGTGAACTCATCCGAGTCCTCAAAAAGTTTCCCTGAGAGCCAGTTACGAAGCCGACGCAGCTCGTTGGCACCGGGATCATGGTCAGATCCTCACAGGATCCGCACAGAATGCGAAAAAGGGCCCCGCAAAACCCAAAAAAACCCTCGGATACCAAGAACCGCTCCCCATCATCGTGTTGGTCGGGAGTGACGTGCACCGGCCCGACTCGCTGAGCACGAACCTGAGTCCAAATGAAGAGGCAAACATCCAATCAATCGCCTCGACCTGCTTGAGATCACAATGAGGGGGGTTCGCTTCCTTTCCAGAGTCTTGCCTTCTGCTGCCTCGAAACAAGGTTGATGTACTTCCTCGCTCTGCGTCGCTCAGGATCTGCGCCGATGATCTCCACCGTGCCTGAGCTTCAGCAAACCCCGAAGTCTTCGCGTTGCGGACCAGGGCTCGAATGGAATCCCCAGCTTCGCATCGCTTCTTTACCCCATCAGCTCAAACCGGTGTCGCCAAGTTCACTTGGAAAAGCAAGTAGTCTTCTACGCGACCACTATTACGCATCTCTTATCTCACTGATCAGATCTTGGACAGGTGACAGTTGTGCTCGTGCAGCTCCAGTGTTGCTCCAGACACCCGGGCGATCTTGTGCTTCGTTTTGCCGCCGCGGCCCAAGATGAAAGCCGAATCCATGTCCTTTCGGCCAGAAGCAAAACAGCCCTTCCTAGTAACTAAGCCTGAGAAAAACGCCCTAAAGCATTTTGAAAACTCCAAACCCCTGAACCCTAAAGCCACCACAGCCCCAAAAAGCCCTAAGCCATCCTAAGCCTAAACCATCTCGGACGACATCCAATAGGCAGCCAGGGAGCGGTTAGCTGAAGAATCTCTGCTGTCTTCCCCTCACGGCGGACCTTCTCGCCGCCTTGGGCAGGATGGGGTTCGGGGACTTCCGAAGATTCAGGGTATTCTTCGTATGGTATGGCTATGGTATATAGCATAATTATAGTAAATATAGTATCAGCATATCTATAGTAAGGTATAGATGACCATTCTAGAAGACGGACAGGTTTTGAGAGTGCGAGCCTTCTGCATCGGGCTTGCTCGCGCCGCTGCTGCGAGACATGCTGTGCTTCGCTGCAAACCTGCAGATTCGAGGAAGCCCAACAACGTTTCAGGATTGCAATCTGTGCATGGACGTCTTCCAATGCCACACACTCTGCTCTGACTCATGGCTCTCAGCACCGGGATTTGATCCCGGAGGCCCCACAACCCAATGACCCTGCGTACTTTGTCATGACCTCACGCTCCCGGGGCGGCAGGCACAGGAGTCCCGTTCAGACGAGGTGCAAATCAGCAGAAGGGGTGGGCCAACCCTGCTGCTCGAAGAGGCCATCGACTTCTGCCCGAGCCTGCGTCCAGAGCAACTTCCGAGGGCCCAGCGACTTTGCAGGCACTTAACTCATGCAACAGCACCCGAGCCTCGTTCACAGCATCCGGAGCTCCAGAGAGGGTCAGCTTCAGCTGCTCCTGCTGGATTCAGAGGCAAAAAGGATCGGAAAGACTGAACGACAGGGTCAAGCCGCACTCCTTGTTTATCTGAGCCATGACCAGATGCCGGAAGTTGTTCCTCAGTGATACGCGGAGCGTGACCAGACAGGACTCGTACCTAGAGATGCTTTTGCAAAGCAGAAACAGACAATAAAGGACAAGCACCAACACGGGCAATGAATGGTTTCTTCGCACCTGCGAAGAGGGTTGCTCTCACATGGTTAAACGGTGCTGCCGAGCAGCAGCTTGTGGAAGCGCTCCTTTCCCAATGCAGAAACTTTCTCCAGCTGCTCCTTCTTGAGATGCACCTCCACGAGCCCAGACGTTGCCAAAGGCTCTCAACACAACGCGACTGTGCCTCGTGGGTCACGAATGAGCTCAGAAAGGTCTGCAGATCTTTGCGTGCATTCGAGACGACCTCGGCGCGGCTCAGCCGAAACTTCTTTGAAGCATTCGGTGACCTACGTGATCAACGCTTGGAGCAATCAGAGCTCTTGTGCAGAACGAAACTCCGATGAGGGAAAGCGCGTGCGTCTGCCTGTCGTTTAAGTGTCCCCTACAAAAGCCGAGGCGTACACGACCGAGAATGCATTTGGCAAAGGGAAGTTCGAAGTTCTCAAAGACCCCTTCGCGCAGCATCTCAGCTGCACGCCGAGAAGATTCCAGAAAGGATAATCTTCTTCTCTGCCTGCTTCACCTGCGATGCTTCCAAGATGTAAGAATACCTTGACAGAATTATGACCAACCGAGTAAGGCTGTACGGCTTTCTGGTCGAGATCCTAGCACGCACTTGGCAGATTTGTCTTTCAAGCCCGTCCTGCACGCGAACTCGAGTTCGGTTTCTGACCTTCGGACAATGGAAAAAGCGCAGAGACGTAAACGGATGCAGGCTTGCTCTCAGTCTGAAGTCATACGTTGAAGGGCTCATCTACGTCCGTGCTGCAGGCCTCTTCTAAGATCGAGGGTGTGCCATCTGCTGCTTTGGCAATGAAGATGTGGAAAGGGACGCCGCTCGGGGTCGTAAACTCCTTCGGACAAGATCGTGAAGAGTCGCCAACTTGAGAGGCAAGCCATGGGCAAGAGCAGGTAAGCCGGCTCAACGCTGACTTGCTGCATGCCTGAATCCTGAAACCTAGCGGGTTGTAGTGCAAAGCTTCAGCCGCGCAACGTTTGCCTTGCTCAGAGTGTCTAGGGAGAGAGACAGACATAGACAGACGAAGAGGCAAAAAGAGAGAACCAGCATAGGAGGAGGCAAGTAGGTTGGTCAAGTCTGATTTGCACCATACAAATATTCAAGCGTTCGGGTGGAGGGAGGGGCCCCCAATCGACCAAAGCGCGCCCCCAAACCCCAAACAACAGAAAACCCTAGACCTAGACCCTTAAGCCTTCCCGATGCCTAAACTCTAAGCCCTAGATCCGTGTCGCACCTGACACGGCACAGCAGGACTGCCACCTGTGTCACCGCTTCGCAGCTTCACCCCGTTGCCGGTGTACTAGCCGCATTTATGCAGCAGTTTAGGTTTCGATGCTTGTTGCTTGCCTTTGTTTTAACCAGGAACTGCATATGATCGGAGGCATAAATTCCACAGCCCCTCCTTGTTTCAATCCCGCCCTCGGCCCCTCACCAGCCTTCCCAAACTTAGTTTTCTGTGAACAATCAGTTTCACTCGTGTGCCTTATACTATCCATCATTCGCTGTTCGTGACACGAGAACACACCGTGACACACTCGCTACCTTCCACCGTTACTTGGGGCTGACAGAGTTTCCCGTCCTCGTCCACTCTGAGGCTGAAGATGTACTCTTGAAGCTGCTTCTTTGCCTTCGCAGCTTCGACAAGCGAGACTCTTGCTATCACAAGGGTAGCCATGCACACCATATTGCAAGCTCAGCGGCCAGATTTACCTGCTGGGCGTATCCCTGGATCAACCTCGGATGCAACAGATTTGTCCATCTCGAACCCTAGCACCACAGCTCGGGAAACTCCATCTAGGCTCTAGATAGCAACTCCTGCCACGGGAGTTTCTTCGAGTTGGCGATTGCTCTGTGTCAGCCTTTACGGCGATGACTCGGCCGCCAAATCGGCAGGCTAGCAGTCGTCTTCGTCGTCGTCGTCATCGTGTCGAAGTAGCTGTAATACACTTCGCCATACAACAGTCCTTACAAGAACCTTGATAGCTCTCGAGAGGTGTCATCGGTGAAAACAATGCTGATGTATGGCCGACACAAACTATGATACTTCACTCCTTGAGAGAACGACCTGCTGTGAACGTGTGAGCCTGCGTCTTGCTGCTATGCATCTTGAACTTGCCCTTCCTAGCTTACCACAATTGCTTCTTTGCTTGGATATTCCCTCCTATGTTAGATTCTCACACACTCAACATGCAAGAACACAGGGGAAGCGCCTATTGCACCTTCCCTCGGAAGTACAAAAGATATAAATTGCCGCCCTAGCTTCTGAAACATGCGATAGCAGTATCTACTAAATCAACTGCATGCCGTACGTTACAGTTGCAGTGACCGCTGGTAAGCTGATGCTGCAGCTCTAAGGCCAGCTATCGCTCTGCGTTCTGCTCCGATCAATCCATGGCAGCCACGACCAAACCAGCTGAGCTGCACGTTGTCCGTGCCCTGCTGAGTCAGCCGAGCGCCGCAAGATTGCTGGATGGCCTGGAGCTTCTCCTGGTGTGACTGGCGCGTTGCACCGGTTCTTCAAGCTCAGGATTCTTTAGCTCTAGCCGAAGGAAAGGCGCACAGAAGTCCACTGCACTTGCTGTGGCCTTGTCCAGGGAGGCACAGATCGCCTGACCAGTGCGGATCTCCGCCTTCGTAAGCTGCTGCCCGTCGTTGTTGCCTCTGGTCTCGGGCAGCTACCGGAGCAAACAAAGATCATGAAATGGACATGGAATGATGATTTCGGACTGCTGACAAGGGGACTTTGCTTGCTGTTGCGTGCTAGCAGCATCCGAGGTCACGGCCATAGCTGCCGTGCCCGTTAAAGAGCTCCTCCTCAATGCTTCTTGAGTGCTTTCGTTGCTGGCGTATTTCGGATGAGCACTCATGTCCGGCAGGCGCTTTGCTAGCCAGAACTCACACTGCTATCGGATGCTCTGCGCCTGGGGTTGTCGCGGAGGCCGGGCTCTGATGAGCTCCTGCACCTGCACGAACCCAAGCTGTCAAAGCTAAATAGAAAAGTGGGGGCCATGCTGGGGACATGCTGCGTCTTCCGTTTTTCGGATTTATGCAGCCTTGAAAACGAAGGAGCATGAAAGCTTCACCATGCTGCTTATCAGCAATGCCTTCCTTTCAGCTTGACGCCGGCCGCGAGATGCACCAAAAATGAGAAGTCGGTCCTGAATGTCTTTGTGTTCAAAATGCCCCAGGCCAGAGTCTTGTACCGCCATTGTCTAGTTTGCTAGCATGGCTGGGAGTGATTGGCAAAATGCAGACAAGTGACAGACGAGTCCACATCTCCCTCCAGGAAGCAGAAGGTGTCTGTTTCGTGCTCGATGTCTCTGAGGGTTGTGCCTGCGAGCGAGTTAAGGACATCTGATGTCCCTATATAGAGGACTTACACAGTCTGCCATGTTCCATTATAACGGCAGCGAACGGAAGGGAAACGCAGCGCGGGTCGTTGCATCAAGGGTCAGTCTGCTTTGGATATTCATGCGAGGGGATTTGAGGATTTGTTCAGGAACTGGACCGGCCTTTGAGAATACCAGTCAGCTCCCGCGGCACCTTCACCTGCAAGGAATTGAGACGTACCGGGCTGGCCGAATTGAGCTTTTTCGATCGCCTTAAGGGATCCGGGTAGGGGTGGGGGCGAAGCTGAAGCAATTACCCGCTGCATCCCCATCTCCAAAGGCTGGAATATTATATCCTGGCCCCTACAAAAACACGAGTGTATTTAGTCTCTCCTCTCCAGGCACCTCGGTGGCATCGCTTCGACTGCTAATGTCAATGTAGACGGGCCCAATGCGCTGTTGCTTCAGCCAGGTGATGTAGTCCTGCGAGTTACGTGCAAGATTCTGATTCCGATCTGAGGCTTCCCGTACAATACTTATAACTGATAACATTGGCAGCATCACAACAAGTTGCTGCTAATTGGAGAGCGGCAAGTCGTCTTTGTATTGAAGAAGCCAGAAGCAGCAACACACACACACACAAGCATTGACAACAACCATTTCTGTCGATGTTCATTTCGTCATCTTCATCACCGTCCTCACACCATCCTCTTCATCGACACCCCCTCCACCATCCTCTCTATCACCACCAGCGCTGTCGCCGTCACCCTCGCCCGAACCAGAACCATTTTCATCGTCACGTCGTCATCACCCGAAATCGTAACTTCGATGCGTGTTCGTGGGCTAGTGCAAAGCGGAGCACTAAGATCGGACGTTTCGCAGTTATGTTGCGGGTTTCTTTCGCAGTGCGACAGGGCTGGGCCGCAGTCCTTGGACCCAAGCACCATAAACAACACTTTCTGTCCTCGTGGTTCAAGTTCGAGCTCTAGTCAATCTAGGGTTTATCTACACCGGCTCTGGTACGTCCGCGACGAAGTCTGGCAAGCAAGGTCGGAATTTGTCTCACTTTACGAGGTCTTGTACATGTCGAGACAAATTGTCCCGCGCTCGCTGTCGTTCGGCCCGAACGCCGGCCATGTAGGCAATGTTGCCAATGTACTCCAGGATGCAGCCTCGGCAGCTATGATGCAATCTAGCCAAACCAAAGTGGCTCGTGACTTGACTGGTTTCTATGGCAGCATGATCCGTTGTTATGCGCACGAACTTCAAAGGGAAGTATGCGCTCTGGTGCTCAGCACCCCGCCACTCGCGTTAGCCAGTTTTCGTCGCGTTGCCCCCTCCTTCCCCAAGGCGAAGGACAACTCGTCACCTGGCGAGACTGCTCCAAGTCGGAACCGCGGTGGAAACAAATTTCAATTGTAGATATTCGTGGATACAAGGGGTTTGGTGATTAGGGGGCCAGATGAGGCCAGCCTTCCATCACCCAACTCTTGTGCCAAACGGATTCTGCATCTTCATCACCGCCTACTTGGGAACTTTATGTTTTCATGGCTGTGCTTGTTTACGGCTAGTCATCCGAATGATCACAGCTAATTAGTCAGTTGAGAATTGGCTCGCCTTCGCTAGTGTTTCGACGCACTGCCAGCTGTGCCTTAGTACCCTCTTTGGGTGCGGATGCCAGCACTCAAGCCATCCACTAAACGGGCTCCACGGGCTGCTTTCGTTTGATGTCTATCTGCTAGGGTGGTTGAATCAAGGAGTGTTGAGTTGACGTACAAACATGCTTAGTCTCACAGAAGAGCAACGTGATCGCGAGCTTTCACCTTTGCTCCGCAAGTTTTTGCAGTTCATGCCGGTCTGGGCCTGTCAGTGGCATGGTGTCGATGGCCCAGCCCTCCTGCCAGAGACTCCAAGCTTGGCTTGCAGCCTGTCGATGTGGGCTTCAAAGGCCGGAACATATTTCTCAATTATTGGGATCCCTCCCCTAGCGCTCCGCTCAACAATCGCATCCGGCAAAGACTCCTCTGCTGACTGCGCGTCGCCAACTTCGCTCGTGTAGTGTCCTTCGGGACTTCCCCCAAAGCTGGCATTGCATCTAATCTCCAACATGTACTGCAGCATATAAACTTCCAGGCTTCAGGCAGCATGCTGTCCCACACCGCAAGATGCCGAAAGACAACCTAGGTATCTATAGTACGATGGAGCACGAAGTGAACGGATGCGCTATAGAAATGTACCGGCAACATGTCGCAACACACGAGCCCTCATGCTGCAACAAAAACTCCAATAAACTAGAACAGAGTGGCGGAACGCCTGCAACCGTATCACTTCTCCCAACACACCAAGGGTCCGAGCCTGGTAGCTTTGCCTCGATGGCAGCCATGATCTTAAGCTCGGCCCCAGCGCGGCCCCAAGGGGGACCAAAGATGGCCAGGCCTTCGGCAGCACAGTGTTCTAGTTTTGGGGGTCCGTGTAAAAAAGCAGATGTGTGACCCGCTGGCAGACTCCCAAGCACCCGGGCGTTCAGAGGGTCCTTCTCGCTCCAGCCCTGGGCCTTGCAGCGCTCTGATCCCGAATTCTGCCTGCTGCCTGTCCGCCTGTTGTCTGGCTTGGTGCAGCCCACTCCGGCCTAAGGATGGGGTCTGGTAGTCGCAGAAGAACATGAGGGTTCCCCACTCCTGCTCAGGCAGACAGCATTAGCCAATCAGTCCACGGGGCGTGGCTGCTGCCTCCTCGCACGCGCGCAGGAAGTTTCCTCCAGAGCCTGGGGCTTGAAAAAGCAGAAGGATGCAGAAGCCAGGAATAAGCGATGACGCATCCCGGACAAAGATTACGCCGATTGCCGAAACCACACAGTGTCTGGGACCTGCAAACCACTGCCCCAGCCTGTCACGAAGGCCACGCAGTTGTTTGGAACGTCCATCATAGTGAGATCTCCGTCATCCTGGCAGGATGATGACGACTTTTGACGCTGCACACTTTGCTGCCTGCACATTTGGCTCGGTGCGGGACCAAACCCATATCACACCCGCGTAGCACGGCACATTGGCTGCTGAGTGAGCCGCATGGCCATTGTCCACGTGCACGGGTCCGACACGTTGAGCTTGCACCTCGGAGAGGCCGAAAGCGAAAGCCAAGCAAAAGCACAATGCGGCAAGTTGAACGGTGCTCAGCTTCTGGCGAGAGAGATGTACTTCCTGGCCCTGGCACAAGCCTGCGAGCTTTCGTCCAGCGCAGCTGATCCAAACACCACGACCAGGACCCAGTGCACTTGGTTCCAGCTCCCTGAAACAACTTCACAGAGCGGCAAATGGCCTCTTCCGAGCCAGTCACCTCGACTGTATTATTCCTGGCGAAACAGAGTCTACAATCTGTAATTTTGGCTAGAGCTCCAAAGCTTTGTGATCTGCCAATAAGTCCGGATTTTCCCCCCATGGGCCTTTCGTGAAGCTCTAGCCGTGCACCTGAGGTCCCATGGCTCCATGCATTGCATAAGGCATGTTGCCTCAACCGTGGAACTCTGGTGTTGCAGGCTTTGGGCTGACAAGAGAGTCCATGGCAAGTACATTTGAGGACTTTCCTCCTGTCTGGCCCCGGGCTGCGACTAAAGTCATGCAGCAGGACGTCCCACACCCAGTCCAAGAAGATATGCCCAAGGTGTGTCCCTGCCGAACCCTGACTGACTGTCTGGGTCGGGATGCCGGAGACTCTTGCGATCTTGTGCTTGGTCTTGCCGCCCCTGCCGAGGATGAAGGCCTTGGCACCACAGACTTCTTACGGTCTGTTGGTAGAATCATAGCAGCAAGGGACATGCGTTTCGTTTACCACATCTCGAGAGCCTGTGAAAGGCTGAATGGGGTTCCTGCAGTGTCGGCATCATCGAAGTGCAAGCGCAGTCTGTGCTGAGGAGTGTCGGGACGTCCATTCTTGCCGTCCTAAGCTGTAGCTGTCATCCCACTGGCATACTGGGATGGATTGCGTTCTCTTCTGCGAGGGATTGTGGCCTGTGAGTATGTGAACTGCTTTGCTGAGGCCACAACCTTCTTTGGCCTGCCACCCTTTGCATGCTCCTACAACCAATGCTTGCAGGGCAGGCTCTTGTGCAAAAATTGGAGGCTTGTGATGCACGGCAGATCACGGCAACATGCTTATCGCGAGAGATCCTCCGCCTCGCCATTCTCGTGTGCTTGGCCCGCTTTCACCCACTGGAGTCGGGGCTCCTCCCACCTCCGAGGGCTGTGAAGTCTTGGTCAATCCGTACCGCTCCCTTTGTTGGAGTCTCCTACGTCAAGAACCCTCCTCTTAGCATCAAGCTGTCCGGCTTCAGCAGAGATGGTGCAAGGCCGTCAGAAGAATCGGTTGCTGGCCCAGCACATGCCTGTCGTCCCAGGAGCCACCATAACCTCCGTAGCCTGCAAAGGAAGTTCCACAAGAACCAGCCCTACAGTAAGCAGTTGCAAACGTAGGAATTACACTACTGCGGCAATCAGTGTGGAAGCACACTACAGCACGGATGCCAGGACAGGACTTGCAAGCCAACCAGCAGCGTCAGCAAGAAGAGTAGGACTCAGAGTATCAACAGGAAGAAGTCAAGACAAGACAGCCTGTGTAATCATCACAGAGTAGTGCGATTGTGATGACATCACCGACCCGAATCGTGGCCGCTGCTGCTGCTACGACTCCTGAGAAAAGTAAATCATCGGATCAAGACTGTGTTGGCATAGCCTCGATCCGACATGTTGCGCACAATGCTCAACGCTGTCCAGATAACGAAGTAGACCCGGACTGGTCATGGTGTTGCTTCTCAGCTACTTGGTATGTACATTGAACTATTCGCAATTTCACTTCACGCTGACTATCACTATGCTTATCATCAGACCCTCGCATTCAAGATAAGCGAGATTCACAATTGACACCTCTCTACCCACCCTTTCCTGTGCCTAGCCTCGCATTATGAGTCAGGTGGCCACTGGGTTTACCTTCATGCCAAGTAGTGTGTTCACATGATGCACGTTGTTCATTTAGCTACTTCTTTCGATCGGCTCATCCTTTTCATTTGCATGGTCTCTTCTGGTACTTTTATTATATGAACCTTTGTAGCATACTGCATGCTGCACAAGTTATATGACTCAGCATGTTCGGTTCAAGCCACCATGGCTGATCTGTTCATACTTGGCTTCGTGGTGTCGTGTGCAAGTGCCTCCTCCACACAGCTTATCACAGACGCAGCTGCTGGTGGTAACTGTGATGCTGCAGTCATGATATGTCATGAGGGTGGCTGTAACTGGACAGCCATGATGACTTGCTGATGATGGCAAGGATGATGTTGTCGATGAACGCTGTGATGAGCACCGTGAATGACGAGCACCATCACTTTAAGAATGCGTACATGCATTGGGAACATGTACATCCATCACAATCATAAGAGTAGCAACACGCATGACCATCTACAGCTGCAAAGAGCGGTACCTGGCATGATTCTTATGAGTAGGATGATGTCTATCATTAGTTTGCTGCGGAGACAGGGTGGGGGAGCAGCTGTTTGGAAGGTTAGCTGCTAGCTGATGTTTGCTATTGTTTGCTGCATGATTGAGGTTGTGATTGCTGTGGCATGCTTCTCTTGCTTCCGGTTGTGTAGTTCTCTTGCGCGCGGTTGTGTAGTCGCAGCTGGCCTTGATGTTTTGCTGCCGCTGCCGTAGTCATCTGTCGCCGCTGTTAAGAGTTGCTCTTCCTCTTCTGCTTCTTCTTCTTGGTGGTGGTGATGTTGTCCATGGTTGTTGCAGCCGCTCTGGCTATTACAAGATAATTGAGGCATGACTTGCACAAACAGCAGCCGTGATCGCGGTCATATCAAGACGGCGACAATCGAACACTTATTGCGAGTCACCACTGTGTAGTGAGTGTGACAGCGCGAGCAAAGGGAAATTCCTCCCCCAATCCGCGCCTCGGTCGCGGCGCCGGCCCATGACCCAATGCGCGAAGGTCTTGCTAGCGAGACTTGCGCTCATGCACTCAGCTACTGCTAACGGTAGCGACAGTGCTATGAGGCTGGGCGATGCTCCCGAACGTCTAAGCACTCCTAAGATCAAAACTCTGGACTGTCTGTTCCAAAGCTTCTTAAGATGTAGAACAAAGCCGAGATTGTCTGGTTTTTAGGAACTTGGGCATTTTGGTGATCTTCTTGGGTTTCAGTAACATGCCCTCCGATTCGCAGAAGTGCGAGATGGCAGCCGCGCAAAGCAGCCCTGTGATTTGCAAGCAACTTTCATTCATGGCTGGCACCCACTCGCGTGCACGTAAACTGATTTGGGCCTCTAGCTTTACAGGGCTATGACGCATGGACTGTTGCGGTGGTGCCGTAGGTGCATTGCACGACTTCCTACGTGCTGAGTGTGCTGTTAGCATCTAGTAAGTCTATCGCGAAAGGTTGGGAGAACGGACTGAACAACGATAATATAGCAGAAGGTGCTGCTGTAGATGCGCTTGAAGATGCGGCGCTGTTGTTTCACCCTGGGTACGGCTGAAGGCACTGGTCAGATCTGTACAATCCCCCAGCAGCGTTACATCGCGTGCTCGTGGCAGAACCAGCCACCGTGTCAGGGCAGCTGTGCTGGGCTTGCCTGTCAGATGTCAGCTTTGCTGGTACTTCCGCTGCGAGATGCTTCGAGGCCAGCCCAAACTCAGAAGAATCCGTGTGGAGTGCGGACAGGCAGTTGGCAGCATCCCTAGACCATTAACAGCTGCAATGGCGCATGCCGCTTTGGGCAAGCAAAACCATTGCATTCCCATAAGCAAGCGGAGATGTCTCAGTCGAAAAGAAACCCATGCAACACACACACACACACGTCACAAGTAAGAAAGATGCAAGCCTGACCTTGGAGACATCGCCGGAAGTTTCAAACGCTGGCAAGGATACACAAATGCCTCACCGTCACGATTCGTGGAATGCCTGGAGCTGCTCACATACTTCCTCATTGGCCACTGCATCCAGCAGAAAGCCTTCCAGTTCAGACCGCAAAGCATTGCTTAAAACCATATATCAGCTTCAGTCAGAGACAACATTTGAGAGTCGCCTGCATGCGGTTGGTCCTCGATCCAGTGCAGCTCCAACTGGGCCTTAGCTTCTGATGCTTTGCACGTCACTTGTGCCCGCATCAGATTTCCTGCCTGAGGTCGCGCCGACTCCGTCAATTTGGCCCTGTGCAGAATCGACGAAGGGGGGTCCCGGTACAGCTCACGATGGTGGGCCCTCTGGCCTGCGCCGCTGCTCTGCGTAGACGAGGCTTCGCACGGAGTAGGTCGGGACAACAAGATCTTCAGACTCGAGAACGATGAGGGCTGCAGTGCCTGCCGCACCGGCTCCACAGCAAGGCTGAAGCAGCTCAGCTTTCAGGGAAGCAGAATTCAGCTGTGCATTGCAAGCAATAAGTCTTCTCAACGATGCCCGGTTTGCGCCTTCCAAGTCCTGCATGTCCTCAACTGCAGTAGAAACTCAATGGTCACAATGATCTGCCAGCGCAAAAACAGCGCCATCTTCATGTCACGAATTACGGCACTCGATGCAGGTTAGAGTCCAGATGCGACTCTTCCCAGAAGAAGCAGCGGCAGACAAAGTTGCAAATGAAAAGCTCTGTCATAACGAAGTATTTCAGCACAATCTCCATCCTTGCAAGCATCTCTTAACCGCACATGTCGGAGTCATCGTCCATGCTCTGCTTTTGCTGCTGGAGTTGTGATGCTCCACAGAGCAGAACTTTGATCGAAGGAACGGGTCCATGCCGGTGTCATGTCGAACCTGTTGAAGCTCGTGGCCTGCGCACTGGTTTGCCCCAGACTTACTCGATCTGTTCATGGCTTACTCCGGCTGTGTCACTTGGATGTCTATCCTCTTCACCCAGAGCATGATGCAATGCACCCCCTGATGGCCTTGAACGAGCACCTTCAGCAGCAAGAAGCAGACGGGGTCGATGAGCGTGGTCCTCTGCTGGCCGGTTAAACCTATTCCGTCGCTCGATGCCGCTCTCCGTCGCTCAAGCTCCCTTGCACCGGATGCCTTGCCACGCAGCTGTGCGCGTAGCGCAGGACCCAGGCCACCACGAAGGCCCCAAAGGAGTGGCCTATGAAGTGAGCCTCCTGCAGGCCCCAGACCTCCACACAGACAACTGGTGCAGAGTTGGCTTCTTCAGGGCTTCGTTCGCTCTGCACGAGACAGCCGTGCCAATGACCCCGGTGTGAAGAAGTCAACAGAAGCTGATGTCAGGGGCTGGACTCTTTGGTCGTTTAGAAGTGGGCAGTCTGTGGGCAGAGTGGGCTTACAACAAGTGCAAGCAGGCGGAAAGCACGAACAAACACAAAATGGAAATGACAAGCAGAAGCTGCCACGGCTAACGTGCTCAGATCGATCGTGTTTCTTTTATGGGAAGGATCAGGAAGGCATCTTTGCCAGCTTCTTCGCCAGCTTCTTTGCAACTGTTCAACTCTCTTGTGGCTTCTGTTCTGGCTTGGGTGGCTCTGCCCGTCCAGCCTGTCCGGGCACCTTTGCCATCGCAACGCTACCCACTTTTCTTAATAAGCTTCAGGAGTGCATCCTCCAAGCTGGCCTGGAGCATGTTCCGGATGTTCGCAGCTACCTGAACCAAAGCTCTCAAACTACTCCCCTCTCGCTCAAAGTCTGCCGGGCGCTCCTCGTGGGCACCCGGGACATCGTCCGAAAACCTCATGGAGATGCCTGCGGTGTCGACCAGGAAGATTGGATGGTCCTGCGTCTGTAAACGGCTGGCTATCTACGTCTTGGAGTCGCCAAGCCTTACCAGCATCGAACTCATAAGTTCAGATCGTGGTTTTGTGTTTCTGGCCTCTCGGGCGCAGCGTTACTGACCCGGAACTTCGTCCACCGATCTGCTTCAAGCGGAAAGGGAGATCTCATTTGCAATGGGAGAGGACCTGAGGACGTCGAACCGGAAGGGGCGGAGGACTCGCCGAGGCTCTGCGTCCTGGCCCAAGGTCTTCGTGAGCCTCTGCAAGAAGGTGAGGCACCTGGGCTGCTGTTCAGTTCTTCGGGCTACAGCTGCAAAAAACTGGGGCGGCCACATTGCAGGTCCCACTCCAACTCCGTGGCAGAAGACTAGAGCCTTGCCACACCTCAGAGGAGAAGGGATAAGTCCTCAAGCTACTGCACACGCAGGGCGACGCAGGGTGCGGTCCGAGAAGCTCCAGCAGGCGCGGCCGGCCGACACCCGTCGCCCTATCCTGACTCACGCCTGCAGGTCGCAGCCAGTACCTTCGGGGCTGGCTGTTTGTTATAGGGCGTGGAAGGGAGGGCGGTTTCTGTCACTGCTCATTGCAGATAAGCGGCTCCGTGCTTCCTGACCGGTAGGGGTGGAAGCCCAAGAGGCTCAGTGCCTCAGAGGCAAGCAGAAGGGCACCGAGAACGTGTGCCGGATCCCGAGCTGATGGAAAGCACCCCCGCCTGGTGACCCAGCGCCGGTGCCACCAGGGCAGTGTTCACGTATGCCAGCAGTGGACGATGCACTGCTGGGAATCTGAGGGCGCTGTTCGATTTGACATGCTGTGGCTCCAATCGTGTGAAATATGGTGCAATTCAATGTCAGTCTCAGGTAGGCACGGATCATTCCTCAGGCGGAAGCATTTTAGGCCTGGCATGCTATCAACGAGGCCATCCGACGCCAAGAAGTGTCTAGTTGCACCTCCTGACATAGCCTCCTAAAGCTACTATGCTCTTCTGTGCTTAGACTTCAGTGTAGAATCGTAGACAGAGTGAGTTGCTACCAGAACTCGTGCAAAGAGGCAGCCTTCGTTCTTCCCAGGCCAATTGGGCATGTCGCTCAAAGGGAGAGCGGCCCAAGATGCGACTGCTTGGACCAGCTCCTCGACACACGGAGCACTCGGGAAATGCGGGCCCTAACCTGCAACTATGGTAGGATCTTTACCACACGGACCCCTAAACCCTCGTTTTCAGGAACCAATCATTGGAGACACTATCCTTGTTGACTGTGGGCAGCCAACAACACTGCGCACACCGAACAATCTCATCGCAGCACTGAGGCGAAAGGGTTGCGCACATGCTAGGCTACGCTCTTTCACAACAGGCTCTCCGGCGAATTACATGCGAATCAGAAGCCAAGCCGCGTCTAGTTCCACGACTTCAGGGTCGGAGAGCTCCGCAGCAGACTCGGCTCCATCGAAGAAATAGGAGAGGATCCACTGCTCTATGTTTCCGCCTCGGGCTTTAAGCAGTCCCAAACTGGCCGGTTGGACGTTGGACCTTTTAAGGTTCCCGTCGCATGAACTCTTGTCACGTGGGTCGGGCACCATTTTGGCTGTCACGTTCTTCCATCATGCTGACATGCGGCGGCCAATCAGGCGAACGTCTTTGCAAATCACCCTCTTGCCTGCGGACAAGATTGAAAACCTCAGCTCCAGACACAGCCCCAAAGCTTAAGACCAGACAGTAGGTGAGCTATGGCTACTAGGCGATAAACTCACCAGATGGTACCAACTCCACATTGGGCAGTCAAGCTTCCATGAGCAGAGCTCCAGATGCTTCAAACATTGTACGTCCTCAGATAACAACAGGTCTAATTCTCGCGCGTGAGTGCATGGCTCACCAAGTGCCCTGACCTCTGGAGCACCGCAACTCTCGACCCTGCTGCTTTCCGCCCCTCCGTCCCACCGTGTCCCACCCTTTGCCTGATGATTTTTGATCGCTTTGCCGCATGCTGCGATTTGGTGCAGTCCATGAAGAACTGAGTATGGCTGTGGCTGTTTCCTGCGACATCCGAATCCTCTTCCAGGCTCTGTCGCGCACGCGCAGGCGAGGCAAGCTCCCCTGGAGTGGCCAGCTCACGTCCAAGCATGTTGCCTTACACCCGCTCTTGTGCCCATGCTGCCAGGGGTCCACTTCTCCGGGGCTGCGTGGGGTTCCGACTTCGTCGGCCTGCCGGGCCAAATGCAGTCCATCTCACTTTCAACCTATATCTAATTATCTCTCCTCTACTATCTGCATAGAACGACGACTCGCTGGATAGATGGCATTAGAGACTGGGAGAGCGGGGAGAGAGAGAGAGCGAGAGAGAGAGCTGCATACCTGTGAAGGTAGAAGCCGCTGCCTGAAGGAAGCGTGGCTATTTGGCGGGCCTCACGCAAGCGGAGCAGGTTCTCCACCGACGGGGCCTGGCCTTGGAAAGGACGGAAAGCGCTTCTTTGGACTGCATCTTCTAAAGAGCCCACGGACTGCATCTTCCGGGAATTCTAAGTGGGCACGCTCTCTCTTTCACAAGCTCGCCCTGAAGCAGGTTTACTGCCTGGGCCTCCCGCATATTGGCCGCAGTGCAGGTGGACGAACCCTGGCGGCCTGAGAGTTGTCTTCGTTCGGACGCAGTGATCCCAAAGCTCAAAGAGTGCAAAGACCCCATCTGAACGAGAGCCGGGAAGCTGCCGGCTTCGGCGCGCTCGTGGCTGCTGGAAGATACCAGAATCCAGGCTCTGGTTCATCAGCCAGGCGGAGGAAGTTCTCCACCTGGACATCGGTGCGATGACCCCATGACCCCCCCTCTCCTTCGGGTGTTTCGTAGAAGCAGCTGTAGTTGCTGAGAGTGCAGCTGAGGGGTCGGACATCAGCTTGGCCCTCGCCTCCTGACCATATAGGATTTTCCGAAAACGAGGGGTACCTTATTTTGGGATCCGCGTAATAAGGATCCTACTATTAGGAGTACTGTATAAGGGTCCCCTATTTAAGGAAACCCCCATATGTCTTCAAGCGATCCTAATCAGCTTGCAGCCGTACGGCAATATGTAATCCTGCTGCTACAACCATCTAGTATCATCTAGTCCCAATGCAGAGACGTGGGAAGGATGCCTCGGCTCTTGCAGAAGTCTTGGGGATTCGAAATCGAAATTGCGAACATTATCCAGCTGCGGCAGCGTGGCGCGTGAGACTTGCGTAGGAGCAGCTGATGCTAACCATGTTACCAGGTCCTTGCCATCCGACGGTCTGCGCTTGTGGCGTCTCCAAAAGTTGAAAAGCCCAGTGCCTTCCTGCGCAAAGAAGAAATAGAGAACCAGACAGGGAAGGAGTAGGGGAGGTGAGTAGGCTCGGAAGCTAGTTGCAGCCCAAGTCATCTGAGAGCGGGGCATGCTTTGCCCAGGCGCGGCGCTGCCGATCCTCAACGACTCAAGGCTTTTTGGCAAGCTGAATTGTTGGAGCCCCTGTCCGTGTAATTTGCCTCCCCGAGATACATCGAAAACCCCACAGAGCACTGAAACTACAAGATCGGGAAACATCGTCTTAAGCATCAGCCGATTTGCGCAAAAGGAGTTTATCACAAGCAGTTCCTGTTTGCCTGAGCACCTGACCATCGAATGCCACTCAGAACCTCTGCTAAAACTTTGAGAATTGGGGGTTTCCGAAAATAGGGGACCGTAATATAGCATCATAAATAGTAGGATCCTTATTATAAGGACCCCAAAATAAGGTACCCCTCGTTTTCGGGAACCCCCAATTTGAAGTCCGGTCCAAGCCACACGCTTGTTGCCGGACCAGCCCTGGCCCGCATGGATCCTCTCCTTGGAAGCCGACATTTCGAGTGTGCTCGTCATATCATCGACGCAATTTCCTACTATAAATAACAGAATATACTATAATATATCACCTATAGGTGTAACTGTCATTACATATACATATACATATACATATACATATACATATACATATACATACATACATACATACATACATACATACATACATATATATATATATACACACACACATGCATTAATTTACTTGTTTAGTGATTTATTTATATAGATAGATAGATAGATAGATAGATAGACAGATAGACAGGATAGATAGATAGATAAGTAGAACGAGGGGAAGATATCCAAGGTGTTGCTTTTCATCACGTTCTGGGGCCGAGGCTGTGTTGGACAAGAAGTTCTCCAAGAGACGCATCCTGCCCCACCCAGGAAAACTTATGGTCGGCTGGAAGCTCTTCAAAGCTCAGTTGCGAGTGGCTGGATCCCTTCTCCGGCCTCTCGCCTGGCGACTTCCAGAGGACGTTTGGGGCGTAGGCGCGCCTGGCCTCCAGGCTGCGCTTCTTCCACCTGGCACGTGGGACTCGTGCGCTCTTTGGGCCTGGGCTAACAGTTCTCCCGCCTGCAGTAGATCCAGAAGGCCAGCTCGAAGAGAGCCCAGAGCTCCAGAGAGGACCGGGTCAAGATCCAGAATTTGGACCTTGCCGGCTGCCACTCATGCGCACTTTTTGCGAACCTGGACTCCAGCCTGTGTGTCCGCACCATGATCTGATTCAAGCGCCAGCTACGTCGAAGGACCACCAGCAGCGACAGCAGCGGAGCTGCTTTCATGGTGGCCACACCGAATCTGGCCTGAGATTCCCGGACATGCCGATGTCCGTTTCGCTGTTTCGATGTAGCCACTGAAGTAATGACTCATGTGGAGTACCACGACAATAAGGTTGCAGCCAGGATTAGGCCCATCAAGGAGTTGGTCATCCAGCTGACCATCAGTCGCTGCAACCTGCTGGTCATTTTCTGAGCAAGCTGTACAGTCTACAGTACCGTGTCGGCTGTGCCTGGCTGACAGTGGGACCTGCTCCCATGACCGCACCCCTGTCGTCTGCCTGGCCAGCTCTACGCCATTCTCTACTGAAGCACCCTGCTGTTCTGTCTCTGTTCGACGATGCCTGCCGGGGGGCAGCGCGCCCTCTCGTACAGGCAAGGCGAGCACCATTGTGAATGCCAGGCTCCGACTGGATTTTTTGATGCTTTGAATGGGCATTGATTTTGGTTCCTCCTCGGATGAGCTTGGCCAGAACCATGATCTATGTACGGCAGTCAGGCATTGCTTGCATGCGCTTGAAGCTTCACCCAAGAACCATGGCAACACATGTCAAACATGTGCTAAACTACTTGAATCATCTTCCTCAATCCGATGCATCAAGACAGCAAAGAAGCCAAAAAGCTTTTCAGAGTTGGGACAATCAATCTAATTGCGAGATCGAAGTGCCACACACGAGGCCCAAAGAAGATCCACGGCTATCCATTCTTGAAACTATGGCCCCCTTTGATTCACAGTTCCAGGTCCCGGTCTTATGGCTTGGGATCCGGTGGCCCTTTCACAGCCCCGTAGCTGCAGTCACATTGCATTCGCTCGATGTCGAAGCAACATCAAATTGCGCAGTCCAGCAAGAAAATGATAGCCAAAGCAAGCTCCGCAGAGCTAGCTTTCCTGATCAGGCAGGTATCAAACAGCCTCGCTCTCCCGTCCAAACCATCCGAAACCTCTAGTTCGCTGATGATGCAGCAAAATGATGTCAAGTATTGCTTGCACGTGCGTGCTGCAACCCAGAGCCTTACACATGCGAGAAGAAGCGACTGTGCGAGTTGGCGAATCAGTCCATGCTTTGCTAAACTGATTGCGACGCTCGCCTGACATTGCTGGGTCCGATTCGGGGTGCCCACCCTGGCAGGATCCTTTTCCTCCGCGGCACACGTGTCGCGCATCGGCGGCGGCCGAGGAAGTTTCCCTTGTGCGGTCGCCATCCATTCCTGCGGCGAAAAAGCTGTCGGAACTCAGCCCTCCAGGAGGAATCGCGCCAAGCGATCGGAACTTCACAAGTTTAGGTCCCAAAATGTCCCAAACTGCGCCTGCTGTCGCATGGCCTCATCTTTTCGAGCGGCCTTCGTGCCAGGCAAGACAGATTTCGCTGCTCACAGCTAGTGCTTCGGAAGGAGCACGAACTCGGAAGACGGATGTGGACCGTGCGAAGCCAGCAGGATGCTGAGAGCTGAGACGAAAGTCTGCCCCGGCCTGCAACTCTCCCCGGAGCCTGTTGAGCTCGGCCTCTGCAGTGTCCAACTTCTGCATGGCCTGCATAGTACCAAGGATAGGCCAGCTGAAATCACAGAAACCTCGAAGACCCTGAATGACGTTCACACTGCCAGGCTGACAGAGCAGCGTCCGGGAACGCAGGCCTCAAGCAGCGATGAAGGTGGCTTGACCATCTCCTTTGGCCGAGCATCAGAAACTGCGCGACGCCCCTACACTGGCCGGGAGGAGCTGCCCTTGTACCGGGCTCTTCAGTCGGGTCGCCAGCGCCACTTCGGGGTACCACAGCACCACTGGAAGCCTGAAATGGACGGAACGGAACTGCGTTTTTTTCTTGCGACTCGCGCACACGGAACATCGCGGGTGCCTCCCATGACGACCTTCAAAGGTCACCTGCGAGCCAACAGTCGCCCGAAACCAGGCCGATTCAGGCTGCCGAACTGAGAGAGTGCGCACGGCTAGCGGGTAGTACTCGGATTTTTGGATCTAACCAAATTTGTATGTTGAGGACCTACATCCACACCCAAGGATTTGATATTTCCCGGCTACCGCTCCATCCTGCCTCGCAAACTCTTGCGAGAGCCTCGTCGCCCCCTGCGACTTCCTCGATCTTCGTGATGTAACCTCCATTCAACTTTGTCCAGGCGTCGTTCAGGACTGTGTTCATTTTCGTGAGTTGCCTCGATCTTGGGTAGGCGGGAATCTTGCACATGGGCTTTTCTCATGTTCTCCGGCTTTGCTTTCTTCTGACCATCGAGAGGCATCAGCTGGACAGCTAGTCCTCCTTTGCCTTCACACATGCTGGTAAATGCTGGCAAAGATTTGTCACTGCTTAACGTACGCAGTCGCAGTTAGAAGAAAGCGGTGAAACTACAAGTACGTTGGCTGATGAGAAGCTGCTGTCATCTGGGCTAAGCAGCCCTTCGCTTCGTTCCCTTCCGCATGAATTGAACGGTCGGTGCATAGTCCTCAGGTCCTTGCTTCCCTGTATCGTGAAGATGTCCAAAGAGGAGCAAGAGTTCCCGTAACAAGGCTTCGAGTGCAACCCATGACCCCAAAGTCTCGAGAGGCTCTGCAAAGTACTAAGTACCGGTCTCGACCCTCGCCCCCTTGCTTTCGGAAGCGACACTCTTCATTGAATATCCTTAAACACCCTCCTTAAACCCTAAACCCTAAACCGAACAAACCTTCGCTTCGGGGCCTATGCCGCTACGATCGCGGCGCTGCCCGCGGACGGCGGCCTCGGCTCTCGTGGAACTTCTCGCCCGTTTTTTCCGTTTAAAGATATGCAAAAAAGGAAACGCACGTACACCTGCAGCTACAAGAAGTGAGTGTGTTCGGGAAATCAAGGACAGGGAACTCTTCCTGCCTAATCTCTCACTGTCCTCCGGGCATCTCTTGCCATTGCCTCTGTCCTTTTGCCACGCGAGGCTCGGGCCTTACTCTGGTGCGCCGTCGTCCATGAGAGAGTTGGATGCGATTCAAACCATTGCCTCAGTCGAGAAGCAAGACTCCGCCAGATGCCACAGACGCGGACATCCGGGATGACGGGAGAAAGCTGTGGCCCACACCGTGCATTCGCCTTGGGCTGACAATGCACGGAGCCTTGCAGGGATTCCCGCGTCCACCTCGGGCAAGCATCACGGATCACGGGATGTCTCTGAAAGCACACGGAGAGGGGAGAGAGCTAGACTGCAGTATTTCGGAGCTCTGTACTGCTCGGACTGTGCTCATGCTGCCAGGAAGCGCGATGCTGTGCTCGTCACCGGCGAGAGCCTGACGGAAGACCCCATTCAGGACATGCGTTGTCTTACTCATGGGCGGCATACTGCCTTCTCAAAGGCATGTCGGAGCGAATCAACGCGACGCTGCAGGTCGCGGACCTTGCAAACATACATGGTTGGGTCGACTAGTCTAGCACGGGAATTACTTCTTTCAGCCCTAAGTGTGCATCCTGGCCGAGACAAACGCATGCACAGCTGTTTGATGGCAAGGTCAAGGGAGCTCAGGACAATATGCGTGGACATATAGGCGCAGGAGTCTGACTCGACTCACGAATCGTCTCGCCGTCTTTAGTTCGCAACCGGCCTGCGAAGACAATTGCGAGGCGTGGCTGCCCGTGGTGTTTTGCAACGCCGAATACTGGCGGGCATAGCGCAAGGTGCTGGCCTCGGCAAGATCCCATATATGCAAGCTGCTTCGCAGATTGGAGCTTCTACAGCAGCCCAGCAGCTGTCTCCACAGGATGTGAAGGATGCACTGCGGCAACCATGCACACCCGAGCACTGCTTCCTGTGATTGCGTCCTGACGGCAGCCAAGAATTCGAACACCAACACCGACGAACTGTCAGCCATCAGCAGTCACGCGTGCTTTCTATCCAGACGTCCGGACATACGTGTGTGTGTGGGTATATATGTGTGTGCATCGTCATTCTCTGGCTGACTCTTTGAACGATTGATCATGCACACGCCAAGTCCTTGAGGAGCCATGTCAGAGCGGAGTCCCGGTACCTCGGCTTGGAGCGTTTCGGTGGCGATGGGCTCCAGAGACTTCTCAAACAACAAGTATCTATATGCCTGAATGGATGCTTACATATACATATACACACCACCCATATATGCATACCTTCATACATGCACACATGTATGCATGCATGCATACATACATACTATGACTCGGATGGGATTGTGAAGAATAGGCAACTTTTGATTCTGCACTTGTGGCAGCTAGAAGGCGGCAGCAACAAACACGACCGGACCGAGCCATCAAGACAGCTACGGTTCTGCTTGGATCGTTCGCACACCCCATACTGAAGCAGGTGCGTATTACCGTGCTAGGGACAACGATGCAGCCATGGTCACGGCACATGCTCGCACTTGCCACTCGCCAAAGCTCCAACCACCTCGGTGAAGAATGGCTGGGCCAACTTTGACAGGAAGTCTGCAAGGAACGAAGCATACCTTAGCCGCGGACGCGGCCCAGGGCAGACAGGCCTGAATTATCATGACAGACATCAGCAGACAAATCCTCGAGGGCACCGAAAAGTCAGTTGCTTCTTGGCATCACAGGCTGTGATCTTAAGTCATGCGACACCGGGACCACGAGAGCTCAAACAAGTATACTTCTGGTTGTTGGAATACTTCCGGTTCAGGTACCATTGTTCTTAGCTCTTGAGCACCCTTACTGCAGAGTATCGCTGGAGGGATCGGCAGCTTCAAGAGTCACTTCCGGGAGCGCTGTGACCACCAGCTGCAGGAGCACTCTGGTCTCTTCAACAGGCGGATGGCAGATGTCTGTGTTGGCTGATGCAGTCCACTTTGGACCTAAGCGCCCTCTCTTCAAGAGCTCGTGGCGGAGGCGGTCGCTCAGCCACGTCGCCCAACCGCTGCAGAAGCTCCAGAACGACCCCAAAACATTCAACGTTCCGGCCGAGGCCTAGTCCAACAACCTGGCCCGGACACTGACACCCCGTGCTGCAGCGTTGACACCTACCCTTGTACAGCGTGAGATCTCAAGAAAAGAAGACGATGGCAAAAGGCAAAACACCCTCTCTGCCTTTCTTGGCCCTTGGAAGCTCACCCTGAGCCGCGGGCTGAGGTTGATGTGCTCTCCCTCCTTCAGCTGCTCCGGGCCAAGGGCATGCAGCCCAGCCCTCTCGCTCCCTGGGCACAGGTAGCTAGGATGCCCGCAGACAAAGTCACGAAATATCTTGTTCCGATATGTTCCGATGCTATCCGCAGATCTCGGGCGCCGGTGTCAATCTAAATTTCACAGGATGCCCTCCCCACCCTGCACCTGGGCGGACGAGAAGCCTTTACTATGACTCTTCAGCCCCCTCTGGCTTCCAACACTGGCACGTCGCCCATACTTTGCTGTTGTGGCTCTCACTTATATCTTGACATGTATGTCATTAACAGATCCCTTCTGGGAGGCTGTGAGTTAGGAGCGTCCGGGTCCCGCCTGCCAAGTCCACCAGATACACACGCGTCTCACGCGTCGTGGAGCCGGGAAGATGGCGCAGCCGAGAGGAAGAGGTCTGCCAACACCGAAAGACACAACTTGCAGAAAGTTTGCCGTGCCTTAACCGATCTGACGCCTCGCTGCCGGCCATGCCGATGTGTCGGTAGCTTGACCGCAGGTTGCTGAGACCCGTATCGCCGTTAACGATTCACTGAGCGCTGTCCGCATGTTGTCTCTTAGCTACAAATGCGAGCGCATCTGTGCAGCAATGTACAGACATCTGCCAGAGGACAAGCGTTTTCCAGCCTGCTGAGACCAGCACAAGTGGAGCCTCACTTTGAGACTGCGAAATCGAGAAACTTGCAGGCTCTTCGCCATGAATCCGCCTTCCAAGTTGCACGTTGAGCCAAGCAGCATAACCACTGCATGGCTCCGACTGGAGCGAGGGTTAAAGACGGTCTTGCCGACCATGCGGGTCGCGGCGCCCTGCCATCGCAGCTGACACGGCATGAGAGTTATACTTTTCTCCCTTGCAACCCCCCTCTCTCTCGAACTTCGCCTCCCGCAACCAGCTGTGAACCTGTCGCTCCATCTCGTTTAGCTCGCACCGCCTGCCGGCTCTGCATCTGCAGGGCTCTCGTGGGACAGCTGTGGGCCGCATTGCCTTCGGGTCAGGCCCTGTGGCACCACGTGCTTCTCACTGGAGCGCAAGCGCGGTAACTGGCAGGGGGCAGGCGGCTTAGCAGTTCTTTGTATGCAGCGTCCCGCAGAGATGTACCAGGCAGACTCTCAAGCAGCAACCAGCCGTTGACGACCGTGAAGTTTTCGGTGGCACCTGCCTGGCGTGAGCCATCAAGCAGGTCATACAGGTTGTCGTTGTACACCTGCAAAGAGGGCGAAACAAGAAATCGCAAAGTCCCACCAGACCAATAAGGTTTCTAGTGACGGGAAGGCGGTGAGGCTGCCAATAGCAATGCTCAAAAGGCCTGTGCCGCCTTCAAACCTCCACGGTTGGGCTTCCTGGATTTCGCTGGCACCTCCAAGAAGCTGAGCTCCACGGTTGGCGCATTCGACGCATCGAGGCCCTGGGCAGCGGAGCGTCACCACGGTGCCACACAGGGCCACTGTCAGTGCTAACAATCGCGATGCAAGCGAAGTTCCAAAGACAACTCAATCAAATTCCTGACACAAACCCTCCATCCAAAGCCCAGAGCCTTGGACCGCATCATCTCTGCAAGACGGCTCATGGCGCGAAAAGCCACGCCCTCGCCAGGATACAAAAGGCTCTCGTTCTCTTTCTCACCATCCAGGACCATCTTCTATTTGCGGGCGCCTGGTTTTGGTTGGCCGATGCGCTGTCCCGCGGAGACGGCCCAGGAGCGAAATCACCAAACATGGTATATGTCTTACCTCAGCTGGAGCAGTGGCGTTGCTGCAGGAAGAAACGAAACCTTTTGGCCAAGCCCGGCCATGGTGCCACTGCCAGTTTGGCCATATGCCAAAATGCCTTGGCTGGCGCGTGGCATGGCTCAGAAAGCTACACCGTCTCTGCTCCTCACATCTCAGCGCTGGAAGAGCCGGGTCACAGATGTGCTCGCCATTGATGGCATGTGGCAGCACCTGCTCACTGACGTAGTCGCACACCTGCTCCTGTTGCATTGCCCACGAAGCACGTGCTAGCATGCGCCAGCTTGAGATCTGCCCGCCTGGGTAGCAGCGGCATCGAACGCCTGGCAGATATCAGCGCGAACACAAGCGCGGCAAGCCGGCAGTCATTCTTTTCCCACTCCCGATCTGTGGTGGTCAAAATATGTGAAGACCATGGCCGTGCCTGATCAAAGAAGAAGGAGGTCGGGGCACCGTTGGTGTTGCTCACGTTCACCTTGTTCCTGTCCTCGGATGTATGCCATGACTGCCACCTACCACACGCTGCAAGGCAGTGCTTGCATAAGTAGATGCTGAGGA